AGCATACTCTATTGGTAACAGGTCCTCACAGTGAAGTACTGTACTAGTCATGGCTTTAGCGATGCCTTTATTCCATTCCTATGCACTCATTGATGTCATTTTCGGTCACCTTCTCATCACATGTCTGTGTACATGTGTGTGTGTGTGTGTGTGTGTGTGTGTGTGTGTGTGTGTGTGTGTGTCTTTGTGCGTGCGCGTGTGTGTGTGTGTATGTGTCTATTAGTCATCCATGCCACACTGCCACCATGTGCCATGCAGTCATGTCACAGCCACTGAGAACGGTTCGCCATCGCAGAGCCAGTACTTGCACGTCACACTGTGCAAGTAACACTGCTCTCAGCTATGGTGTGAACGAGAACTCGTCGAGAAGAGTAAGATTCCATGCCACTGATGTATGCTGACTACGAGTAATTCATGACAAGATGCTGAATGTAGAAAGGAAAAAGGACATGTGGAAACGAGTTAAGAGTAACTCTCCACCACTGTAACTAGATACTATATACAGTCAGAAAGGCAACAACTACCGATAAACACAAAACTGACAGAGTCCTGAGACATTCGACGTCCTGACACCTAGCTTCAACACATCCTGATGCTGATTGCTGAATAGTCCTAATTTTATATTTGTATTTAGCCATGGTTAGTTGCTCAGCTCTCAGGGAAGCAACGTACATGTATCTTGATTGCTGTTCCTAACTTCAGTAAGTTGTGATGATCACTGATGTCAAGCTGCTTGGTTTGGGTGTCAGCTGATGTCACCATCGTCTCTGTACTCCCTGTTTCTCCTCTTTCTCTTTATTAGGATCAATCACCGAAAAAGGCCTCTCCAGACAAGGTCAGTCTTTACCTTACTACGCGTGTAGTCTGCTGCCCTGATCACCGGCATTGAAATTACCTGTTTGAATATTGAATGAGAATCCCGATGAGCAATCTCAGAGATATCAGTGGCGTGATTGCATGCTTTTCCCGGCTGGTGTTTTCAAGTTAAAACGGAATGTCCGATTATCCCTTCCCACGACAGTCAGATTCCACGCACTCAGTATGTTTGTGGCAGCAGCATGTGTTGCCCAGGTGCATGTCAGAGCCACACCATGTTTTAAAGCACACTTCTTTGTATACTCCGGCTTCAGGTTCATGCCCATGTATGGAAAGTTGGAAACTCTTGATAACGTTGCTAGCACCCCATTTCTGCTCTGTAGGATTCACCGACCCAGGAAAAAGTATTGCCATTGGAATCCGTTTGCTGTTGGAGATGGTCTTGTTCTGCTCTGCAGATGTAACTGTGTCATTGCTGAAACTGGCCTACTTGTCTGATATTCTTTTAAATTTAGAATCTGTCTGTTGTTTATTCCTTCTTGCAGTCATCATCTGCAGGCGCGGCCAAGCCACAGGTTGGTGATTGTGTGACTGCAATTATACCAAAGTACTTATACCTGGCTTTTTGTAGCGAGTTGCAGTAGTTGTGTTGAAGTCTATAGCCCACTTTTGGTGCTACATTCCAGCAACTTGTTTATCTTGTCTGTAAAGGTTGCTGGCACGTTTTCAGACATATTTCAAAGCCTACTCTTATCACAGTGATCTCAGGAACACTGGCACCAACTGGATAATAATGTATTCTGACTAGCGCTGTGGCACTGCTGCAAGACAGGATGGTGATATGATTCATTATATGAACCAAAGTTTTGGTTTACAGGCCTTTATTATAAGCATTTTTTTAAAGTTGAAGTGTAACAGCAGTATGCTGCGTCCACAGCTTCGCTTATGCTGAATGGCTTGGGTGAGCATGGTGAAATAAGAGAGGAGAGAAAGCAGTAAGGCAACACATATCTAGCTCTAGCCTGCAGAATATGACCGTCTTCAGCTCCACGCTGGAGGTGTTGTTTGTACTGCTTCCACCACCACTTCCATCTTGTTCCCTGGACGTGCTGCTACCGTATCACACCTGGCCTAAATTGACGTGGGGACTTTCTGCTCTGTAATATCTTCATTGTACTCCTGTCTCCGTTGTCTTTGTTCCATCGTTTAGCTCCAGAAGAATCGTTTCTACAGTCAGCTGGTGTCATCACCAAGCAAGAAACTAGTAAGGTTTGGACAGTGCAAGTGCTGCTGCCACAGCATGCATCAGTACAGACATTCATGCTTTAACAAGAAAATCGTTCAGGACTAAAATCGCGATCACACTACACATGTGGGGAGAATAAACATTCAAAATTCATTCGAGCTTCAAATGGTTATCTTCACAAACAACATCAAATTCCTTCACCTCGGTATCGCCAACACCTTCAGTGCAATCCTTGTACCCATCCTTATGAGTTTTGTTGTTGTCCATGGTCACTTAGCTCTTCGATATCGAGATGAAAAATCAGTGAATAATCAGCGTCAATGGGCCGTATCAGGGTCAAACTTCTGTTTGGAGCGGAAAAGGGTGGTCCGTTCTTGCTTTTTTTTTTGGAGCGTCAACCCTCGATTTCGCCGCTCTGGCGTCAAGTTTTAATGCAGATTCTGATTATAATTACAGGATTATTTCGTTTTTGCCGCAGTCTGACCAGGCTGTTAGGGCTATTGTGAAATACATGTAACTTATATAGACAGCAATGGTTTTCGTGTGTGCAGCTGCGCAAAGAGGACGGTCACTCACCCTACTTGATTTTGTTGTGAATACGTCGAATAGTTCAAGTACATGCGACTCTTCCTCGGTGCACTCTAGGGGATGCAAAAGCTCACTCAAACTCCAGGCCACGGAAAGGGGAATGCAGAAGATATGAAAGTGCATAATATAATTATCATTCATACACGCGTAATTATCATATTATTATAAGTGCTTCCGCGTGATAGGTCTTCTGTGCAAAATGTTGCTCTCTCTCTCTCTCTCTCATCTTTTCTCAACTTTCCAGGTCAAGCGTGAGGGTCACGAGTTCCGTATCACGGTCTTCAATCTGCCCACGACATGCGAGCTCTGCAAAGAGCCGATCACGCCTCACCTTGTTGAAGGTGGTGTTTGTGAAGGTATGATGACTGTTGCCTCACAAGTTGCGACGTTGCCTTAGCCATTCAGGCCAGGCTAAATAATTGCTAGCATTCGAGAGGAAGATCCTGCTATTTTTTTACTGCTTGTACTGTTTTTGTAGTTCATGTTTGGCTTGCCATTACTGAAGTGTAGCTTCTGCATATAGAAGTTAGCAGTGACTTGTTTGTTACTTTGAAGTACGAAAGGCAGCGTGTACTAATACTGCTTGTTGCTTGTTGCTCCACATGCACAGCTTGTCACTACGCTGTGCACCAGCAGTGTATCATTAACACGCAGAAGCAGTGCAAGGTCTCCAAGGACTCTTCAGGAAACAGGGTTAGCGAACGCGGCACTTGTCGGCCTGTACAGTGCCGTGCATGTACTTTTTCTTACTTGTATCGTATTCGTAGTGGCATTGGCTGGTGATGCTCACCGCTGCTGCTTGAGTCTATGTTAAACCAGGAGTATGCACCTGTGATTATGGGGTTTCAATCGCAGTGTGCTGCTGCTGCTGCCTTAGGGTACTATTATGTAACTTATCTGCATCACGCCCTGTACTCACGCACTCAAACCAACAATCTCTCGTGCCAGCATTTCCATGTGTGCTTAATCCGTTCAAGTACCGACGCAATCTCCAAAGTGTATGTGCATGAACTTCAGCTCCGTACGAATGTTGGTTTCAGACCGTAGGCAACATGTGCTAGTTGCTGCAGTGTGCGCATCCATAGGCAACATGTGCTAGTTGCTGCAGTGTGCGCATCCATAGGCAACATGTGCTAGTTGCTGCCGTGTGCGCATCCATAGGCAACATGTGCTAGTTGCTGCAGTGTGCGCATCCATAGGCAACATGTGCTAGTTGCTGCAGTGTGCGCATCCATAGGCAACATGTGCTAGTTGCTGCAGTGTTCGCATCCATAGGCAACATGTGCTAGTTGCTGCAGTGTGCGCATCCATAGGCAACATGTGCTAGTTGCTGTAGTGTGCGCATGTCGCTGCATGTTGTGATGACGGCAGAACGCTTTGCAGCTGGGCCATAACGTTAGAACAGAGCAGCTCACCGCTGCGCTATTGGTTATGGACTCTTAGTTGTAACTTGTAAGGTCAAGGGCTACGCTGTGTACTACCAGTGAATCCGTGAAGTAGTAAATGACGTGAGGAAGTCATGCTTGCTGCTGCACAAAAGGTGTGCGATGCTCTACCCATTGCCGGTAATCTTTTTTTTGCACTTGCTATTTGTTACCATTTGTTTGTGGACAAAAACAAAGCTAGCAACCCCATGAACGTTTGCCGTGTCACCCCGTAGCATTCTGACTCACTTCAATCTTTAAATCTGCTCGTGCTTGTATACACATGTGCTGCTGTACAGGTGTGGGAAGGTACGGTGTTTGGTGCCTCACTTACCCAGCTACTGGTGCTGAAGGACAACCCAGTGCCATTGCTGCTGGAGAGGTGCTTCGAGCAGATCGAGAGCAGGGGTGACAAGACGACGGACATCTACAAGAATATCCCGCTAGACCAGACACGCCTCAAGGCACTCAAGAAGCTACTGGGCGAAGGTAAGCAACAGTGTTTGGCCACGCGGACATGTACATGTACACTGAATGAATGCTGATCATGGCAGAGTGAGATTTACTACGCTAGTGTCAGTGTGCTGGAATTTCCGCTCTCAAGCCGCTTGTACTGCGGGTCTCATCTACATAAGTACATGTATCGTACTCATTTCATGTAGTTGCAGTACATTCTAGGAGGTAGTATATTACCAGGTGTCTTCAATCCCTGTGCCTAGTGGCATCCCTGAAGATGCGGTAAAGGTCACAATAGAGTCTTATGGATGAACCAAGGAGAGTTTATCTGTGTTGATGTGTTGTCTTTCTATGTGCCATGACCATCTCATCATCTGGTTTGTTTGCGCTCTGACCTTCTATAATGTTGTGCAGATCCGGAGAAGACTGATATCCGCAAGACAGATGTGCACCTGTTGTGCGGCATCGTCAAGCTCTTCTTCCGTGAGCTGCCCGACCCAGTGGTGCCGTACCACATGTACCGTGACTTCATCAATACCACCGGTAAGCCTACTCCCCCCCCCCCCCCCCCTATACATTCACTGGACTCAAGCGTGAAACTTGTACAGTGATATCTGCCGTAGGCTACATTTGCTGTGGGCGACCATCTATTGTCAGCCACCGCTTTACGTTCATCTGCAGTTCCTAATACAAACTTATCTGTCCAGAGGGACCTTGTCTCTTGCACTATCCGGGGGGGATCCAGTGTGTGTGATTCTGTGCACGAAGGCTACCTGCCAACCTAGTACTTCGAAGTATTGTTCTAGCAGTATTAGTAACCGTGACCTAGATTCCGTCAGGTGTGAAGTATTGTAAGTATTGTACTGTCTAAGGTGTGTGAGTGTGTGTGTGTGTGCGCGCGCGTGCGTGCGTCTCTTGAATGCGACTTGCGGACGGTCTTGATTTTTCTTCTGTTTCTATATCCGTGTCGCTGTAGCTGTCACGGACGTGCACCAGCAGTGCACCGAGGTGCGTGATCTGATCGAAGTCTTGCCGTGCAGCCATCAGTTCGCACTCCGTCGCCTACTCTCTCACTTGGCCGTGTAAGTGGCACTAAGTGCTTCTTGTTCTGCTTGTGCGCAATGCGCGTTGAGTCCCGGCAGTAACATTGGCCGCATCACATCATCAATTCTTACGCAATACATGTACTGTACTCGTACCACTAGGTCACGGCGCTTGTGGTCGACTTTGCTCCTCAAGCCGAAGCCGAAGCAGATTTTACAAGTTCAGCTGGGTTCACTGTAGATAAGTCTGTGTGTGTTGGAGTATGCTTGGCGGTTTGTTGATCGTATGCGCCTGCTCTCAGCCTGCAGGGGAAACAGCTCTCATAGTCACTGCCTTGCCTCTTGTCTAACTGTATGCACACAGGGTTGTCACGTACAAGGATGCCAGGATAACGGCACACTCGCTGGCGGCAGTGTTCGCTCCACTCATCCTGTCCACGCCGAAGACAGTCAAAGCAGCTGAGAGCCTGAAGCACGTCAAGTTGCGACTCCGGTAGGTCATGGCGCAACTGGCGGGAGTGCTAAGTAGTTTTGCTGCCTCGCGTTTATTACTCGTATGGCGCACAGATTACATGTGTACTTCTTGTAGAAATTGGGTGGTGGTCACTGTAGCAGCCAGCCTAGCAAGCAAGCCTGGCATGTGCACATTTCCGAATAACGCAAAGACATCAGGAACTTGTTCGACATCTCTCGCACTGTTCTTGCAGCTGTAAGCTTGTCTGAACACTTGTTTCATACGTGGCTTCCTTGAATTGGTTTTGCTAGCTTTGCTCCGATACATCATTACTTCGTTGTGAGGTGTAGAGGGGGGGGGGGGGGAGTTTACTAAGTCTGCTTAAAAAATCATTGTTCTGTCTTTTTTTCCTGCTCTCAGATTGGTTGAGAATCTGATCACCACCATGTCAGCACGGCCGAGTTTCTTGTCCGATGAAAGCATGTAAGTGGGCAGCCAAGTAGTGCCACATCATTTCTTTTAAAAACAATGCATTGGACCCCGGTGCTATCATTTGCATGTGTTGGCAAGTGTCTGTCGTCGTCGCAGATACAGCAACAACAAGATTCACGATGGCAAAGAACTGTTGAATGTAGATAGCCGTATTTTATTTCTGTTGACGAAAATAGTATTCCTGAACAGTTGGATTTGACAATATGGCCCGATATCTGAGACTTTCGACCTTCGGGGCTACGCGGTTTTTTTGAGAAAACGTTAAAAACAAATTTGTTCGCAAAAAAATCGATTCCGTCAAAGCAAAGTGCAGAGACGCCAATGGCGGAAGAAAATTGAAGGCGATTCTTGTGTCAGTTGGTTATTGGGCTCACGGAGCACAGCAGCCGCGATCCCATGGACGGTGATGCATCGTTCTTTGTGGATATCCTGTCAAGTGGCGACAGCGCTTCTAGTTCTGAGAGCGCATGTCAGGCGAATCGATCGCAAGTGACACGCGGTACTTACCTGTCGGGGGCGACGATGATGAGGACTTGGCCTGGATGAGTATGATCAAGGCCAACCACAGTCTGCCTCAGCGATAGCTGCTACAGCTCCAGGCAAGGACAACCAGGTGGATTCCTGAGGGTACACCGCTTGCAAGGTCGCTGGGCGCAGAACTGTTTCCTGAGTGTCACGCCAGACCTGCTAAAACAGCACGAAATGATGCGAGTTTTCTTTGCGACGATGATCCTAAAATGTTTTGGATGGCAAGCTCGATACTCGAGCTAATAATGGCGAATCAGACCATCACAGAGCACATGAGGCTGGGCAATCTCGAGTAACATTCTGTTAGTTTTGAGTTGGTGGTGTGAAACGCTTGTCAGGCTGTGTTACTGATGTTTGGAAATGGTCAGTCTCCACAAAGTGCAACAAGGCGAATCTGGACGCATTTGCTCTGTTTGACTCCTTTACAATACTTCCTCCGTATACAAAAACTTCGTGACTTTTTTCAACAGTGTTTTTGAGCAAGAAACTGCTCAACGAACCTCGCCAAAGGCTGTCATCGACAACCCACATTCATGTTGAGGTAGGATTGGTTGATCTCGAACAAATTCTCCACAGAAGACATGCGTGTGAGGACGTTGCCGACAGGAACTCACGAGTCAAATGACAAAAAAACTAACACTTACTTGCTCGAAACTGACACCGTGACGAAGTGGAGCTCGCGGCTGGAACACAGAGTCACGGGGCACTCGCTGCCCTGAAACTGGCCAGGCTCGTACTACTCCTACAGTCGTCCCTCTCTAATCCGGCACTTGTTTATCCAGCACCCTTGCAAACCAGCACACTTTCTGGCAAAACGGATTTTTTCAGTTCATTTTCTACGCTTTAATCCGGCACTTGAATTCCGCCTCCGGCAGCGATTTTCTGCAACAAATCACTCAAACTGCACATAATTTGATTTTCTAATCCAGCAATTGTACATCGCATACCGTACCAGTGCCAATATCCTATGCCAGTGCATAGGATTTGCATGGATATTCCCAAGTGTATAGACATGGCATGTTACAGACATGCATTCCACAAACTTGTGACAAAGTACTTGGATTGACACAGAAAATCCCTACATGTTGACGTATGACACAAACATGTACGTTACTAGGTGAGTGGGTTGGAGGGCAGGATTTGATAATCCAGCACCCTCGTTTATCCGGCAGAAAATGCCGTTGCAAAAGGTGCCGGATTAGAGAGGGACGACTGTAGTATACTTGCGGTGCGCGGCCCCATACGCAGCGTGAGAACATAAAAATCGGTTCCGCTCTCATGGCAAGATGAAACATTTCAGTCGTCGTGCAACCAGCGCAGACTCTGGATCGGAATGTCGACGACCTGGCTTTCTTCGCCTCTCTCCACTCCAGTCAGACGTCTCCGTTGTCGCCTAGGGGGATCGCAGGGACCTCGTCGAAGCCGGTGTAGAATGCTGGGAGGATTCTCTTGCCGAGAAAATGCGAAGCGTGTGGATGTGCTTGAGCGACTCGTTTCACGGCGTAATGGAGGTCGCGGGTTGGAACGACTGAATATAGTCGACACCGATTCGTACACAGCTCTGGAAATGAAGAGTACGTAGCCAAAGTCCCGCGTCGGATCATCATTGCAGCTGAAAAGAATCTGAACGAAATGCAAGCGGAAGCAGCGACTGTTGGCGTTGCGGAGTCAGCGTCGTCAGGTGAAAATGACAGGAGCGACGAAGACTCTGAATAAACTCAATCTCAATCGTCTGAGTTGCTTTTTTCTTTGTATATAGCTTGTTGTTAGGTTGAGTTGGGTAACTCCGCTCTTCTTCCTCGCTCACCGGAGGAATTTCTCTAGTCTCATCGCGCAACTGAGGAGCACTCCAATGGAGAGAGAAAGATTTTTATAGGGCGGCTTGGTGTGAGAGGTGGACTGAGACTTGACGGCGCTAACGGCGAATATCAAGACCTTACGGCCACGGAGCTGCGGGACTCTGCGCTGGTCGTCTATCCGTGTGGAGGCAAAGCAAACGCGGGCAACATTCTGCTGAAGCGAGCGTGGAGCTGAAGCTGGATTGGTGACTGACGTACCTGCTTACTCCACAACACCGGCGCATAATGATGTGCATGTACAAGACTTCGTGAGTATTCAACTCAAATTCGTGTTCCGTCAGCGTCAGTATCAGCAAGTACAGTCATGTAGTACAATTTGTTCCCAAAATAACTTCGGGACAGTCTGTTCATGGTTTTCATTTGTATTGGGACTCGTTCTCTACACTTGCGATAATTTAGCGGCAATTCTAACGTTGTAGCGCTGTTCTCTTGTAATTTAGTGGAACCTGTATTGAGTAACTGAGTTTTATGTTTCGTTACATTGTCGTCAGATCTCCTGTGTACCGGTTTTGTGGCACAATGATTATAGCCATTATATTTGGTCGTCTCCATTCTTGTGCAATCATGCATATGTAGGTTGGTTCTCTTCATGTTATTGTGACCAATTTCATAGATGTTGGTTGCCTTGTTGCTTTCTCTCCCCTCTCCTCTCACCCAAGCCATTCTGCATAAGCGAAGCTGTGGACGCAGCATACTGCTGCTACACTTCAACGCGGGAATGCGTATAATAATAATAATAAATAATAATAATATAGCTTGTAAACAGGTTAGACAATGCCACGAGTGTTATTCGAAGTCAAACGGAACAATTCCAGAGCTATGCGCAGCCTTCAAAAAAAGTCACAAAGTTTTTGTATACGGAGGAAGTAAGTATGTGAATGCTGTTACAGGTATCATGGTGTTCTGTCAAAATCTGTTGCAGACTATCCTGTCAAGCATGTCCATCACCAGGAGAACAGATAAATCACCTCTCCTTCTAATGCTGCTATTGCTGCTGTTGCAACTACACAACCTCAATAAAGTCACGGAATGCTGGAAATGAAGGACCAGAACAGTCAAAACACTATACTATATTAGTTGGCTATTGATATCACATGGAAACGATTTTTGGTGGCTCCAAACACACTGATTTTTCAAAATTGTAAAAAAAGAACAATTCATTAACATGACTCCTGACTGTAGAATGCATTCCTACAAGGTCAATATTGGCCTGATGGCCGTGAAACGAAGTCACAATACTCTACAAAGGCAAGACATCAATTTGCAATAAAAAAATCAATTTCACCAAAACAGCCCGGAAGGTCGATGTTCTCAGATATTGGGCCATATAACAAGATCAGCACCAGGGGCTGCACAACGTGAGCTGGGTTACGGCACTGTTCAGTGATGTACATGTAATCCTGCGCTTCAATACGTCATTCACCCAGCAACTGTATACGATAATAGTACCACACACCTTTTAAATGCTGTTATGAGCATTCTAGTGGTGTAGCAAGACTCACTATCAACTAGTACTATCTAGCACTATCGGTGAGCAGCATCTTCAATTGTAGTGTGCTGCTTTGTGTGTGAAGATGCCGCACGCATTCATCAGACAGCATAGCCAAACTGTGTGTTCGTTCCTTCCACTGTCTGCACTGCAGGGACTATGATGACGATGAAGGCAATGACAGTGACGACGACTACTCAGGTTTGTGTTTGACTCTCCGGGTCCCCACAGTATGCTCATACAGCCAGCCTTGGATACATGTATGACAACAATGGTGATATCAACTAATGATCAATATCTGCGGAGAAACATAACACCCACTGGGTCACAACATACAGTATTACTCTGTCCAGTTGATCTACATGTGTAGAACCCCATAATCGGTTCTACTGATCTCTTTGCTTGCCTGCTGATGTGTTGCCAGAGGTCCAAGCTTATTGAGTATGCTTGCTTATGGTGCTTTATGGTGAATGTATGCTTCCAAGTACGTTGATGTGCTACTCATCAGGGACATCCTCTACACATTGTCCACCCAAGGAGAACCTTCTCCCCATGGTTGTGTGTGTGTCTGTGTGTGTGTCTGTGTGTGTGTCTGTGTCTGTGTCTGTGTGTCTGTGCCATGTACAGGTTCGGGCTTTGTGTCACCAGCCGCATCGAGCCTAGTAATTTCCAGGGGCTCCGTTTCATCGGTCAACACATTGGCACCAGACGTGCAGCCATCCTTGACTTCTACTAGTATTCCTCGCAAGGCCGGCGCCCTGAATATGCTAGGAACGAAAACCGACAGCGATTCAGCCATATCCACACTTGGTGAGGATTCTGCCACATCTAGCCCACCACCGCTGACGTCTTCACAGTCTGTCTCTAGTATTAGAAATGCGTTCCAGCAGTCACTTGCTGTGACCGGCCCAGGGCTGTCTAGCGCCAAGTCAGACTCTGGGAGGGACTCGGCATCAACCGACTCAACGAGTGGCGTGAAGAGCCAGGCGTGCTCGACTAGCAACTCAACAACTTCCGCCGTTGGCACGGTGGAGAGCAGCAGCAGCCGCTCCCGGGTGGCAGGCCTCTCAAACAAATTCGGACACGTTGACAAATCACCCACTAAGCCACCTCCACCGGTAGCGAGAACCAAATCCAGCATTGGTATAAGTATGGGAGAAGAAAGCAACAAAGCAGCAGTAGCGAGAGCCAAACCCAGCATTGGCATAAGTTCGGGAGAAGAAAGCAACAAAGCAGCAGTGGCGAGCGCCAAATCCAGCATGGGCATAAATTCAGGAAAAGAAAGCAACAACGCAGCAGTAGCGAGAGCCAAATCCAGCATTGGAATAAGTTCGGGAGAAGAAAGCAACAAAGCAGCGGTAGCGAGAGCCAGCTCCAGCATTGGCATAAGTTCGGGAGAAGAAAGCAACACAGCAGCAGTAGCGAGAGCCAAACCCAGCATTGGCATAAGTTGGGGAGAAGAAAGCAAGAAAGCAGCAGACCCGGATGCGGTGACAGCAGAGAATGCCAGTAGCAAGCCTTGCCCAGTAGCCGGCAAACTATCAACAATCTCAGAGAAGTTTCAGAAGTCAACAGAGAGTGCGGAGCCTGCAAGGAGTTCAGCCAAGCCGCTTGCGCCGGTGGGTGCCAGCATCGTTTCAAGGCTGCGAGCAAGCAGTACCAGCCAGATAAGTTCAAAGGTCAAACGTGCACCTATCTTCAAATCACCGCTTAGTACTTCACCCCCCAATGGCAGTCCAGGAAATGCAGGCAGCGCAAGTGGCAGCGACTGTGAAAACAGCAACCAGTCCTCCAAATCAGGGGTGTCCAACCTGTCTGCCATGTTCAACAAGTCAGAAGATCCTGTTGCTAGGAGCCGCAAACGTGCGTCGTTGTGCGGTAGCGAGACGGAATCCGAACTACGTGCAGCTTTGGAGAACGTGCTGGAAAAAGGAAAAACATTTGAACCAGGGGCTGAGCGTGGGTTGAAATCGGCCAAGAGTGAATCACCAAAACCCAAGATCAAACTGCCTGCAGCACTACAAGATTGCGGCGCCACTCTACCAATAAGCCTTTCACCATTGCAGTCACCTCACCAGAGAAGCCCTGTCAGAAGCCCAGTCCAATCTCCTGGGAGCTCTCCTGCCTCTCCGGCCACATCGCCTAAACCAGCTCTTCCTCCCAAGCGCCGCGAGTCACTGGTGTTCAATTTCGATATTACGAAGGAGCGCAGAAGCAGCCTGCAATCAACTCAATCGCCTGATGCACCTCCTGCCATCCCGCAGTGTCGCTCTTCTGCAGGCTTTTTAAGTGGTGAGAGCTCTCCAGTGTCACTGCCAACAACACCACTTGGCTCAGCACCATCCTCACCTGCAATTTCACCACGGAATTCACCACCATCCTCACCTGCAATTTCACCACGGAATTCACCAAGGCGGGCGGTGAGAAAGAAGAAACCGCCGCCATTGCCCGGATCTGAACTGCAGTCGCCCAGATCTGAGCCACCCCCATTGCCCGGATCCCAACCTCGATCAGAGCCAGGTTCACCTCCAAGCGACCTTCCGCCACCACCGCTGACGCCACCGTCACCGATGTCGCCAATGAGTTCCAAGTCCAGCCTGCCGTCAATGTTACCACAGGTCAGTGCGGAGACAGCTACACCAGTGGAGGAGAAGATTGACATGCCGGAACTGGCAGGTACGTGGTATGACTGTGGCCATTTTCGATGTGAGGCTTTGGTCATTGATGCAGTTGTGTAGCAAGGTTGGTTTGTCACAGTCAGTCCAAATAATTCCATTCACTTAGCAACCGCCAATCACCTGATCACCTGAGGGTTGCAAAGGGCGTGGTGGTGTCCATAGGTTAGCTGTGACAAACCATCCATGTTAGTCCACTGCTGTGCTGACTCATGTACCCTCGCTCTGTTTTCTTGGGCATTAAAACTACATTTTAAAAAGGATTTGCTCTCTCTCTCTCTTTCTCTCTTTCACGCACACAAAGCTGTCTCTTAGAAGTATACACATTTGCTGTTACTCAATCTCCTCTCATACTTCATTGCATGACCTGTGCTCACATGTGACATCAGGAAAAGTCCCACTACCATACATGCCAACCGTCCAGGGTTTCCCGGGACAGTCCAGGGAATAGGGTGTTTGTTCCGGGCTCCAGGATGTCCTGCGAAAAGTCCAGGGATTGAGATGGAACTTTTGAAAACGATGTTTTTCTCCTTTTTCAGTGTTTCCTCGGACGTGTAGATCAGTTGTAAGTACACACAGCACGTAGCAGCACATAGTAGACAGAAAAAACCATGTGGAACTGCAACGGATCGCCGGTATATCGGAAGTCAACAGAAATTGTACTTGTGCAGTTGCAGCTCAATGCAATGGCATCCTCTTTTTTTGCTTGAGCAGCAGTCATGAAAGTACATCTGCTAATGATGGATGCACTAAAAATATGATACCCAGGGAAAGTGGTCAAAATCAGGGAATTTAGCCTCTTTGTCCAAAGACCTCCAGCCTCCAGGTTGGTATGTATGTACTACAGTAAGTCCCCCACTACTGCCCCCCCCCCCCCCCACACACTACTGCAGTCCTCCCCTCCCCCACACACAGACTACAGTCCCACCACTGCAGTAAGTCTTACAAAATAATAATTTCCGTAAAGTACCGCCAGAGCGCCCCACCTTGATTTTACAGCCAGAGAAAGGAAAATCGTATGGCAGAGTGCAACGAAGTTTGTACGATGTGAGAATCTTAGTGTACTATGGTCACACTTGGCAGGTTTTTGTGTGGAGCTTGTGTCCGCTCGAAGGCACGAATTGACTGCAAAACGTACAATATGTGTACAAGGTTCATGTCGTATGACCTACAGACAGCAGACCACCTCCACAATACGACCACGAAAGGATGAGATGGTGGGGCGCTCTGGCGGTACTTTACGGTATTACTATATCCGGTGGTCAATCCTAAATTTGGCAGTTGAAGGCTCCAACGGGGGTTTTCTCTCTGGATGAATTGCACACTGCTTGCACAGTTTGCAGCAGTACATGACCATGATGTGCGTTGTGTGTTTGCTTTCTCAGTTGCCACGCCACTTCACTCCGCTACCAAGTCTCGACCTGCCAATCGTGGCAGGCGGCCACCAACGCGAGGTCATCGACAGAAGATGGCGGTGACGGAAGAGGCCGACTGAGACTAATGTGTCCCTGTGTTCTGTACTGCTGGTCAGAGCATCGCCTTTCCCTCTCTCCTCTACTTCCTTCCTCATCCCTTTCTTTTCCTGTTACTACTAACTCCAAATAGAACAGTTCTGCCTGCAAAGTTTTGCTTCCTGGCAACTGGTATTTACCCATAGGATATCCAAGCTTATTTTTAAATTCTGTCCATCCAGCGCTATTTTCTGTCAGCAGTTTTCCTGATCTGTCCAGTAGCTTCTGTCTTAGCAAACCTACGTCTGTCCATTCAGGCCTTTGCGTCTCTACATGTCTGTGCATGTTCATGCATGTAAGTTTTCAAGAGAGTTAGGACCTTTGTGTCCGTTTTCCTTTCTGTTCATAGGCAATGATTAGTTTCGCTACTTGAGATCTCACACTCTGTGTGAATGCCTGTCAATATTCTTTATAAGTCTATACAAGAGTACTTTTGGACTATACAAGAGTACTTTTGGACTATGTGTTAGCAGTTTTTTTTCCGTTTAATATCAAATTATTGTCTCCTCGCCGTTTCTTTAAAAGTTTTTTCTTTCTTTCTTTTCCTTTTTTACAATACTTTCTCATTTTCAGGAACTTCCTCTTCGACATATCTTTTTATTCTCTGTTTTTTAAATTGCTTAGATCGCCTTATTTTCATTCTGTTAGTGCTGATCTGCCCAGCTCTGGGCAGTTTTCATCTCTTTGCCAGTGGGTAGTTAAGTACATTCTCTGCGAGCCCCGTCGCTGCACACTGTCTGTGTGTTTGCGTGAAGATTGTATTTACTTTTTTCTTTTCTTTTCAAAGCACCGACATGGTAAGGTGATTATGGGAACCCTCGTACATGTAACTACACAACGGTCTATTGCTCCCTGATTGTGGCCTACCGACTGTACTCATGTGTACTAGGCAGACTAATTACAAGAGTGCCTGACCGCAGGTCGTGTGCACAGACCAGTGCTCTTGCTGATAAGAATGCACTGCCGCATGGCTTGTGCCAGGACTGCGTTGTGTAGAGCGTATACTATACTACTGTAGTACAGAACCGGTAATTACGTTTGTGAAAGATCTGTGAGGGAAAGTGAAAAATGATGACCGCAAGGTGCTTTCTGTTGTTGGGAGCAGGGAGTAGTACAATACCATAGGTATTGTACTACTCCCTGGTTGGGAGACTGACGTAATGATTTCTTTCCTTGCCTTGGTAGACAAACAGCAGTTTCATCAAAATTAGACGAAGATTTTAGAACCAGGGAGTCCTACACATGGTCATGGGGCTGATTTTTGTAGACTTGGTACGAGGTTTGCATTCCTGAAGATGGGCCTTGCCCAGGGAGTCGTCAAATACTTGATACAGTCGTCCCTCTCTAATCCGCCACCTTTTGCAACGGCATTTTCTGCCGGATAAACAAGGGTGCTAGATTATCAAATCCTGCCCTCCAACCCGGTTCACCTAGTAACGTACTTTGAAGTACATGTTTGTGTCGTACGTCAAAATGTAGGGATTTTCTGTGTCAATCCAAGTTACTTTGCAACAAGTTTGTGGAATGCATGTCTGTAACATGCCATGTCTATAACATACACTTGGGAATATCCTAGGCACTGGTACGGTATGCGATGTACAACTGCTGGATTAGAAAATCAAATTATGTACAGTTTGAGTGATTTGCTGCAGAAAATCGCTGCCGAAGGCGGAATTCAAGTGCCGGATTAAAGCGTAGAAAATGAACTGAAAAAATCCGTTTTGCCAGAAAGTGTGCTGGTTTGCAAGGGTGCTGGATAAACAAGTGCCGGATTAGAGAGGGACGACTGTATTAATTAAATTTTGATGACTCCCTGGCCTTGCCCAAAATTCAGATAATTTTATTGTTTGTTCAGTGATTAGTGTAGCCCGCGCCCAGACTACTTGGGGCCGAGTGTTGTGAGGCAGGGAGTCGTAAAATTACGACTCCCTGGTAGTAAGGATGTACATTTACAATAGACAGGTAATAGGATGCACTTTATTTTCGACGTGACGCGAATTTCACGTCAAATTTGGCATAAAACTCCAAATTTCGACGTGGGCTGCAGGTCACTCGCGTTATTTTTCGACGCGTGAGCCAAATGACGCGAGCTGAACTTTCACGTCCCGTCAGAAACGAGAGAGCTTGGAAGCTCAGGGCCCTACGCTATGCTTTCTTGCCTAGCTCACCATGCATGTTACTAGAACTGATGGAATTTGTTTCCATTGATTGGCTTGACATCATTGTATTGCAAAAACGTTTCAATCGGTTTGAATATGAGTTAGGCAAAAGTAATTATTGCAGAATTTATTGGGTTTTATAAATTAGGCAAAAAAAGCATAGGGATCTTATAAATAATGGTGAAAAGAAGAAGGACAAAATGTTACGAGTTATGACTAACTGTCCACCAACGTAACCAGATCTTATACATCTTTGTCGCACTCGCTGACTGTATAAGATCTGGTTACGTTGGTGGACAGTTAGTCATAACTCGTAACATTTTGTCCTTCTTCTTTTCACAATTTTTTAATTGGCTCACCATCCGAGTTAGATCTTATAAATAGTTTTCATTTCTCCTATTTTTTTTTCAAGACATAACCTGGGATTCGAACCCGCACTATCGCCCTGCATGCATTCCCCCGATACACTTCGCATACATGCTCATTCTTCCAAGTTGCTTCACGTTATGATCTTGCATTTGAAAGCCGTATTTGAATATTGTGGCCAGCTGTTTTTGATGGTACGGGACAGGTACGGGATACGGGTACGGGATAGCGCCAGGCATGCCGACGGCACAAACACACAAACACACACGCAACGAGAGAGCTTGGAAGCTCAGGGCCCTGCGCTATGCTTTGTTGCCTAGCTCATCGTGCATGTGTTAGAACTGATGAAAATGTTTTTTTTCCTTTGAATAGCTACATCATTGTATTGCAAAAACGTTTCAATGAGTTACTGAAGTAACGTCTTCTGCATAGCTATGGGACCGGCGCTGACTCTGCCGATCACGGGCGTTCTGAAGTCGACGGGATGTCTGTCCTGACGTTTCCTGGGACCGGCGCTGACTCTGCCGATCACTGGCGTTCTGGAGTCGACGGGATGTCTGTCTCGACGTTTCCTGGGACCGGCGCTGACTCTGCCGATCACGGGCGTTGTGGAGTCGACGGGATCTCTCTACTGACGTTTCCTGTGACCGGCGCTGACTCGCCCGTTAACGCTCTTCCAAAGTATGTTTTTGTCTTTTTGCTGACGCATCCTATCACCTATTCGGCAACTAACGTCCAGTATAATTGCATTTCCTCCTCGTCTCCCTATTTCTTTCCAAAAAATCTCCCTATACATCAGGGAGTCGTATACATAATACGACGAATATTGTGGCGAGCTGTTTGTGGCCGGCTGTGTTTGATGGTACGGTACGGGACAGATACGGGATGGCGCCAGCAAATATTGTGGCCAACTGTCTGGTTTGTAACCAACTGTGTTTGATGGTACGGTACGGTACGGGACAGATACGGGATAGTGCCAGGCGTGACACAAACAAACAAACAAACACCAAATTAAAGCCGCGTGTGGACCCTGGCTAGCGCCAGACGTCACCATGGTCACTGAAGTAACGTCTTTTGCATAGCTACGGGAATAACGTGCATCTTAACCTCTCTAATCGCATTGTTTTCAACACACGAGCCAAATAACGTGAGCTGAACTTTCGCGTCACCATGGTCACGTCAGAAATAATGTGGTGTTATATTTTCGCCATGCATCAAGCCTCGAGCCTCATCAAGGTGTATGCTATCTACCATGATTTACTGTGGCACGTGAATGCAGCACTTGTCTTGCCATACTGGTAGATCTAGTACTAGTACTCGTACCGTCTTACTACATCAGTACAGTCATGTAGTAGATTGAGAGACTGTCTCAGTGTCTGTGCTGCAGGAAGGGCCTTGCCCATTGGCAGAGAACTGAAGAACCCTTTTCTACCGCGAGTAGATCAGGTGAGGTAGATCTACACAGACTACAGAGTACAGTGTTCCCAGCACCTACTGACCTACTCCTAGTATACTATAGACTATTGCTAGGTAGCTTTTCCCCTTCGCTCACTACATTTTTTTGTAAGTCTCAGTTCGCTGCCTACTACTAGTACTAGTACTACTCGTAGATCTACTCGTAGGTCTACTGATGTGGCCTTTGTATGTCATACCATCCACACAGCACCACTGCATGCATGTTCTAAAACTGGCAGCTGAGTGACGGGTGTGTCCCTGCATCTATCTATCCGTTATCTCATTCTGCACAGGGCGCATACATCAGCACATGTCATGCACATACAACTGAAGCACTTCTCGCGTTTCTGCCGATGCATCGATGAAGGGTGCGTGCTAGCGAGCGACCGATGTGATTGACGGTCTCAAGGGATCTCTTCTGCCATCGGGCGAGTAAGCGAGTCGAAAGAATCTTTACTACTAGATCTTGTTTACATGCACTGCCAAACAGGATACTCCTTGTGACCTACCTTTCATTGAACTGCCGTAGTAAGGTCGCGAAAGTCCGCTATAATGGGAGACTTCGAGCCCCTTCCGCCGTCCGAACCGAGGAAGTTTGAGCGCCTGCGCTCGCAATGTTTGATCAAGGGCAAGCTGTTCGAGGATCCCGACTTCCCTGCAACCGACAAGTCGCTTTTCTTCAGCCAGAAGCCTCCTGCTAATTTTGTCTGGAAAAGACCACACGTAAGTGGCTACTGCGCGCTTGTTGCCACTGCACTGTTGGCTTTCTGAACGCCCACCGAGTACTAATGATTATGTATGGAAATATGCCGGAGACTCGATCGGGGGCCCTCCCAGGATTGTTTTCGTTTTCATTCAGTGCACAGAATTTACAAAAAGACCTGGCAAGTTGCCAGTGATATATTAGCAGAAGAAGCGGGCCGAGCAGAGGAAGCTGGAGCATGTTTTGTTTTCCAAGGGCACGCCCTGGCTCTCTGCTCTGCCAGCGTGGCACTGGGTGGCTTTACAGGTCGGCTTCTGGTCGATTGCAATGATGGCATGTTCACAAAATAACATAATAGCACGATCACTCATTTTACTCACTGCCCTTGCTCAATCTAGCCTTCTACAGTTCTAGGCCCAGTTCACTCAGTGATTGTAGTAGTAGTACAGTGAACGTACATGTATCTACTTACTACAATCATTTACTCTTGAATACTGGAATTATTTAGATCTACTTGTGTGCACTGTCAGCCAGTTACAGGTGTGCTCTCGATATAACAACTCTCACTTGTACATAAACCTCGCTAGTAAGTAAAAAAATCAAATCCCGCGCCGAAACAGCATCACTCCCATACAAATTTTGTTCTACACAACATAATCCTACTTCACACTTGCCACGTGATCGTTGCCACGGTTTGAGCCAATCAGAGCGCTCACAGGCAGGGCATGAACCTCTGATCATGCCCTGCCATTCAGGCCCTAGGGCTTGAATGGCACCGTAGGAGAACATGAATGATCACGTGATGGGTATACTCGCACATGGAGAGACTTACCTGATCAAGGTGGAACAACTCAAGAGAGAAAGAAAAAGCCTGACATCCGGTCCATGTCTGATACATGCGGTGGCATTCAGGCCCTTGACCAATCAGCACGTCCCGAGAGCGTGTGGAGGTGAAACTGAACACGCCGGCATGAAGGTATAAAAGGAAGAAACCTCTAGGGGTGGTGGTCGGGGACGTGGAGGATTCAGCTTGTGAGTCACAAGTTCAGGTCGGTACGCTCGAGGGCTTTGTTGATTCAGGCCCGAGAGCGGCCCAAGGCTGAAGGCCGCGGGCCGCTCGAGGGCCTGAATCAACAAAGCCCGAGAGCGTACCGACCTGAAACTTCACCTTGCTTGAGATGAAACTTCACCTTGCTTGAGTTGAAACTTCACCTTGCTTGACATGAAACTTTTAAAGAACGAAACTTCAGAACGAAACTTCAGCCGGAGCGCACGGAGGTGGAACTTCAGCTTGTGAGTTTCTGCCATTGTTGTGCAACGAGTGCCATAAAGGACTTGAGAACTTGGGCAGGCAGGCACTCGGTGTTTCTAGTTGATGTATTTCAAGTTCGATTTATGCAGATTAGTGCAGTACAGTGGCTTTGTTTGCGCTGCTAGCATGCTGCGGGTGCGTTGTAGGTGCACTTGCACGTGCACGTTCTGCTGAGGAGAGCGTTCTGGCTTTCGCTTGTGCTGTCGTGCGTGGGTGGCAGTGTGAAACACAATCAGACATGGATGTCAGGGCAGGTATCGTTGATTCCGGCCCTCGAGCGGGCCTGAATCAACGATACTGCCCTGACATCCATGTCTGATTCTATACATAACATAAACCTCGACATAACACATGCTACGGCGCGGTCCCCGACGTGCGCACTCTCGATACAACATAAATTCACGTGCACGGTACGATCAAGCGGTAGCTAGCTGTAGCTAGGCAGTTTAGTCTTACATAACGACTTATTACATAAACCTCGGCATAACGCACCCTGTGGCGCAGTCCCCGACGTGCGCACTCTCGATACAACGTAGATTCACGTGCGCGGTACGATCAAGCTGTAGCCGTAGCTAGCCAGTTTAGTCCTATTGTGCATATATTCTGCGGCATTGATGGTATCTGATGTCGATGGTGGTACAGTGTGTATATGTTTGCACGGTTAAACCCGCCTTGTAATACCCTTCATTTTGAGGTACATCTTGGTTTTCTGCATAACATAACTCTCGATATAACATAATTTGTGCGTGGTCCCAGAGATTATGTTATATGGAGAGTAGACCTGTACCTACATGTACTTGTACCGTAAAGTACAGTTGATCCGCCCCCTCTCCGCCCCCAGTCGATGTTCTGCCTGTGAAGCGACTTCGGCGTATACTGTGAGACATGTTATTATAACGAGTCGCAAATTATTATTTAGCGATTGTCCAAAAAGGACCAAAATTCATAGGTTAACGAGAAGATATGTTAACGATCCTGCAGTATTCCGCCAGTATCCAAACACAACATATATGAAGCCATACGGCCTAAATGGATCTTATTATAACGAAGAAATGTCATCCGTTAAAACGTTAGATTTACTTCCTCGTTATATATACATGTCTTACAGTACAACGAAATACGATGTTGAACCGACGCATGCACTACTGTGCACAAGACGTGCCAGTGCAGGTTGAAAATGTGCACAATCCAGCACATTGAGTCTGATCTTCCACTTTGTTGTACATCGCACTGCACTTGACAGCCTTGATCTAATTCCCCCCTCCCACCGAAACCCGGCTGGGAAGCGACGTGGGGGGGGGGGGGGATCAACGGTACTTTACGGTAGTGGATCTACTATGGTCTAAACTGATCCTGCTGCTGCTGCTTTCCATCCTGAAACTACTTACTTGAAAGGAAAGATGATGAGGAAACTGGAGCCTGTGGCTGTAAGCATTACCGTGAAATGCAAGTAACGTTCGTGAGTTCTTCAGCAGTTCATGTCACAAGGCCGTCTACTGTTGCAGCATCCAGTCATGGGCTCAGTCTCAGTGTAGACTGTAGGTCAGTAGCGCAGTGCACAGCCGTTGCCCAACGCTAACTTGAAAGGTACAGCGCTGTGTCGGAAGGCGGAAACTAACAACGCATTGCCCACGCGCTAAGAATGCTGCTTTCGGCAGTGCATATAGTGATATTGGTCTCCAGCATACTGCTGCCAGGTTGTAGACCAACCACACATGCACACCTCATGTCCAATTGTACACATCAAGACTGTAATGTGTAGGCGTAGAACACTGAACGGCCACTGTCCTGACTTTGGTACTCTCTGTGTCTGGTGACTCCCTTAGGAGCCAGTTGTGTACATACTAGTAACAGCTATCCCAGACATTATTCTACTGTATTAACCATGGTTACCACTATGCACTGTTTGCCGGTCTTTGTAGGAGATCTGCAAGCCGCTGAACAAGACGCCTAGCCTGTTCGTGGACGGCGGCAGTCGGTTTGACGTGTCACAGGGCATGCTGGGCGACTGCTGGCTTGTGGCATCCATCTCATCACTGGCACTCTACCCAAGGCTCCTGCACCGCGTGGTTCCCGAGGACCAGGGCTTCTCTGATAGCGAGAAGTACGCCGGCCTGTTCCACTTCTACTTCTGGCGGTTTGGTCGCTTCCAGGAGGTTGTCATTGATGATCGGCTGCCGACCTACAATGGCAAGCTTGTGTTCATGCATTCGGAGGAGGTCAATGAGTTCTGGAGCGCCCTCTTCGAGAAGGCGTATGCTAAGTAAGTCAAACTTGTGACATGTGTGTGGCAGTTTTCGCTTTTAACTGGCAGCGCCATGGAAACTGTACATCTAATGTTCTCCATTATCAGCGAGTTTTAGATGTGAGAGGCTTGCATGTGAATATCAATCACAAGTGACTAATGGCAAAGCGTGTCACTGACTGTTGCATGTGGTCTGTTTATATCACATTCACTCGATTCCACGGTCAGGTTGCATGGTTCGTACGAAGCACTGAAGGGCGGCAAAGCAGCCGAGGCCATGGTGGACTTTACTGGCGGTGTGACCGAGGCTTACAAGCTCAGCGAAGCTCCCAAGGACCTCTTCAAGATCATGATGAAGGCGTGCAAGCGTAGCTCTATGATGAGTTGTTCCATTGCTGTAAGTTACTGTAGCGCAGTACAGCTTGCAAAAGGGCCGCTGGCTTGTATACGGCTGTACTACGGTGTGCATGGCATGGCTGATCATAGTCATGAATGCAGGTGCGGGCAGCACTACACCAGTGCAGTACATCTTTTTGGGAACAGTCACCATGCATGCAAGTAAACGACATGTTCCCCGGAAATACCATTTTGTTTCAATGAGTGACTGTTCTGCCGCATCTAGAACTACCCTAATAGCTTCATATTGTTTTTGCTGTGCAGATACTGCATAGCGGGTCAAGTCCATGAGCTACGTACTAATCATGGTTCCACACGCCCTTGGCACTTACTCAATGGTCACCGGCATTCAATTTGATATTTTTTCTATGGAAATCCATATCATTGATCTCCAGGCTACAACCAAAGCCCAGATGGAGGCAAAGATGGACAACGGGCTCATCCAAGGTCATGCCTACTCACTGACCGACGTGCGCAAGATCAAAGTGAAAGGACTGGGCAACGCCGAGGTTGAGCTGGTGCGCGTCCGAAACCCATGGGGCAACGAGCGCGAGTGGAGTGGAGCGTGGAGCGACAGGTGAGGCATCACTGGAGTGCTATTATCTATGCTGTCACGCGGGGGGGGGGGGGGACATGGGGATGCAACTTGCCAGTAGTATGTAGGATATACCGACCTCCCTGTCTAGTCTAAGGGATTAGCATGGCATGGTGCCCACTACCGTGACCGGTGAAGTAATCTTTTGGTTTTTCAGATGCTTGTCAGAATAGCAGCGTTTTTTTTTTGGCCTATGGCAAGATGCATATTCTATCCTCCATGTCCTCTGACAAGATGAAAACGTACACGAGCCTACTGTCTGAGTCAGCTATCTACTTCGGAGTGAGAACAGGAAGCAGCCACCGTCACACAATAGATAGTTGACCAGTCGGTGACTGCACCTGACATTCCCTGTTCAATCGGATGGGTCCCAGCACGCATACTAGTAGTCTGCACTCGGGAGCTGTATGGCGAGACATGCGTGCATTTGCCTTGTTCTTCGTTGTGCAGTTCATCGGAATGGAAAATGATACCAGAATCTGACAGGAAGGAGATTGGTCTCGAGTTTGAAGATGATGGAGAATCCTGGTGAGAATGTCCATCTATTTCTTCAATATTACCGTATCTATTGTGCATAGCTAAGGTGGTGAATGAACTGGAGTGGCAGTAACCGTTGCACGTATCCGCAGTGAACTGCTGTGCCATGGATGTTGCACTTATCACTGCTGTGGCGTGAATGTTGCATTCATCCGCACTCACTAGACTGTACAGCACAGCACAGCACAGGTAAGAAACTACACACGGTAGTGAGTGAATTACATGAGTTTTAAACTGATATTGTCCCTCATCCCCCGGCTCTGCAGCATATCTGTACTGCCATAATAATAAATGATGGGAATGATGATAATGTGTTGTGATAATGTGTTGTGCTCTTTGCCTCGTATTGTTGGTCTTGCCGACTAGGATGAGCTTTGACGACTTCTCGAAGCACTTCACCGACCTTGAGATCTGCAACTTGAGCCTGGAAAGTCTGGAGGATGATGGTGGACAAAGTATGTGCACATCACATTTTAACCTACTTATGCTGTGCTGTGCAGATTTCTTCCGTGCAAAGCCCGTGGAATTCAAGTGATCATTTATATACATGACGAGTCGAATGTTCAGGTACCGTGTTCTTCAAAATACTTTCCAGTTAAGATCCACGTGACATAGCTGCTATGGTTTTGTGGTGCTGATATGCTACTAGTACACGGATTGAGTTGTCGGCTGTGAACGTTTGATCATACAGTTGCTCCTGCTTGTTATCCAGGGAAAGGTGATGTCACCATGAGTCGTGGCCTGCTGTGTTCTCCTTTCAGAGCTGTCGTACCGCGAGTCCGCTGCGAGCGGTGCATGGAAGGGGAAATCGTGCGGTGGCTGCAGGAACAACGACTCATTCTGTGACAATCCGCAGTTCTTCTTTGAGGTGGACGACCCGGATGATCCGGATGATCCCAACGACGATGACAAGTGCTCCGTCCTGGTTGCACTGATGCAGAAGAACCGCCGAGAGAAGAAACATCTCGGCGTGGAAGACCTCTGCATTGGCTTCTCACTGTACAAAGTATGTGATATGGGATCACGTTGGGTAATCTTACATGTACATCCACTCCGATCCTTGGTAGCGACCCAATCTGGTACCATTGGCACATGAAACATGTCACGTTTTATGACACAGACTTACTGCATAGTTGGCAATGGACATTCTTACAGGGCTGAAGCCACCTTCTTCAAGTTGAGGTGATCAATTGATGGCCATGGTCACCCAACCACCCCTACTCTACCTGTATCACTGACCCGCATGTCTTGGGAGCTGAACCTCGGAGCTGTTGCACATCTATCACAATACCATGCAGGACATCCATGTTGGTTCCAACTCAACCCCTGCCGCGGTCTCTGGGGGTCACATGATCTTGGCCATGTTGGTTCAACTTTCCACACCGGCCCTAATCAATTTCTACACCGATCTAGCCGTTGTCATGGCAATGATGTGAAGCCTCTCTATTGTGCCATCCTAGCTATGCTATAAGTAGCATTCAGATTGGTGTCCTGTGTCAGGCTGTGTGGAGCTGTAAGCATGTGTACTTAGTCATGTCTGTAGCAATAAGCCAAATGAAGCTTACTGCATGTAGAATGCCTTGCCAGGATGGGTATGGAATGTTCATTGCTCATCATCGCTACTTTCTCTTTCCTCTGTGCGTGTAATGTTACTGCTTGATTGTAGCTGGATGACACGGATGCAAAGAAACTTGACAAGGACTATTTTGACTACCACCGCAGCCTTGCAACGTCTGGCGTGTTCACCAATGCACGCGAGGTGCACGCGCGCCTGGAGTTGGAGGAGGGTCGCTACTGTGTGGTGCCGTGCACGTTCAATGCCAAAGAGGAGGGAGAGTTCCTCCTGCGCATGTACACCGAGAAACCAACAAAGTATGTAGTGCTCCGAGTCGGGATTATGACGTGCATACGCCATTTGACTATTGCATACGCCATTTGACTATTGCATACGCCATGTGGCTATTGCATACGCCATGTGACTATTGCATACGCCATGTGACTATTGCATACGCCATGTGACTATTGCATACGCCATGTGACTATTGCATACGCCATGTGACTATTGCATACGCCATGTGGCTAGTGTTCGACTTTAAATCCGGTTATACATTGCTATGCTCTGGTCTGCTATTGCTTGACTTATTACTACTTACATGTACTTAAGCAAAGCTCCCAGTGTGCCAGCGGTGGCTTGCTGGTGTTCTACCCAGCCATGCCAATATCACCGTCTACTTCCAATGAACGTGCCGTAGCTCCACTAGTCTACTCATAATGCTGTTCTTGAGCAGCGAAGTCCAAGTCCAAGCAGCACTACCAGACGTGAAAGGTGCCCTTACCTCTGTTGCAAAAGAAGGATCCATGAGCCGGGATTCAAACCCAACACCCATGTCGTTCCGGGAGAGTGCCCTACCGATTAGGCTACCGGGGATCACACACACACACACACACGCACACACACACACACACACACACACACACACACACACACACACACACACACACACACATACACACACACACACACACACACACACACACACATACACACACACACACGTGACTCATTCTTGCTACACCTCTGCTGCCAGTAGTCTTGGTTAGTGCATGGTTTTGCAGGCAGTGATAGCATTCCACAGGGATGTCATTGGCACAATCAGGTACATCTCCGAGCTGTGTGTGATCTGTGCGAGTACAGACTCAGTGTCTTACCAGTGTTGTTTCTATTCTTGTGTTTCTGTGCGTAGGGAGATGCCTACTGATCCGGACCAAGAAGAGGTATGGCTGGGTGCTACGTGTCCTGACATGTTCTCTGCAGTGCTGGCGGAGTCCAGTTCCGTAGTGTGTTAAACCTGGGCTCGCGCACACGCGCACACACACACACACATGCATGCACGCACACACACACACACACACACACACACACACACACACACACACACACACACACACACGCACACACACACACACTTCCGTTTCCACACGCCCATCGCTAAAGCGATGATAGCGAACACTTGAAGCTATGTTAGACATAGCAACTTGTGCTGGGGTTACACCAGTCAACAGCTTGCAAGGCAAACACGTACACGTCCACACTTTATTCGTTTAGCCATCCTGCCATCCGAGGCTGCCTCCTTGCTATCTTATTATATAATTCAGTGGTTGATATCGCCCATTTGGGATGTGAAGTAAAACAGAACAGCAACAGTGGTGATAGCGATGACAATGCCAATGATGTCGCTTAAAGCGACTGCAGAAGTAGCAACAACAATACAATGTAGTATTACATACACATTACCAACACATGAAGTTGTGTTATCTTGTGCGATGTGCCTGGTATAATCAGGCATGGTGGTGGCCTGGCACGAGCGAAACTTCTCTAAGCAGCTGGTTGTGTTTCTCCGGCAACACAATTGTAAGCCAGTGGTAGTGCGGATGTGTTTCTCCGGCAACACAATTAAGCCAGTGGTAGTGCGGATGTGCGAACTTTACTTTTACTTCTTCTTGCGTTTGGCGGCTGTCTTTACTGTGCACTACAGGAGAAAGCCGCTGCTGCCCAGGCACAGCGTGAAAACACCAAGGGGATGTTCAAGCGCTTGGCTGGAGCTGTGAGTGTAACCTGTCTCCGTACTACTTTGTCACACAGTGTGCTTGTGTCTCCTACCACTAGTACCAGTGGTGAAGTCATGAAGTCGCCCTCTGTGCCTCCTGAATGCCATGATCATAACAAAGCTCTAGTAAACACTTGCTGCCGATGGGCGGTCGTTCAGTTTTGTATGGTGTTGTGTTGTATCTCTCATGACAGGATGGTGTAGTGGATGGTCTGGAACTTCAGGACATCCTTACGCATGCACTGCGCAAAGGTAAGCTTTGTAGCGGTGCAAGTAGAGGTTGGGTGTCATTGGAAAGAGCCGTTGATCTTGGGGCAATGCATACACCATGAGTCCCTGCGACCTTTTTTTTCTCTGTGTTTCAAGTTTTCTCTATGGGTGCATGTCTTTCTGCCATGGTGTCATTGATGCTGGCACTTGCCAGTAGTGGAGCAGACAGGTGGACAAGGATTGTGCATTCGAGGGCCTTGCTAAATGCTAATTCTAATTGCTAGCAGTTTTTTTGGTAGCCCCCTCCCATATCTGTGTTACCCGTGAGCACTCTGAACTGAATATTCCCGGACACGGGTGACAGTGGCGTGTGACGAAGGTTTGTTCCCTGAAACTCTTTATGCTTGCGCGTTGTCCATGCATTCAGAGCTTGGAGGTGGAACATTCAGCCTTGAGACTTGCCGGTAGGTTCACTGTTCGCTAAAGACCTACGAAGGGAGCTACTACATTGTACAATTACATGCATGTACATGTGCTGCTACCAGGACCCAGTAAACAGAAGAGAAGAGTGTGTTAACATGCACTTTTTGAGTCCATGGGATACCTCCTGTGTGTTATGTCATGGTTATGTTGGCATGAGCATGCCGGGGATATCATGTGACTCAAGCTGTACAGTCGTGTACTTGTACTACAGTACTGTCAGGCACCGGACAATGGAGCGCCGGAGAACGCACTGGCTAGAATTTCACCAAACACAGAATTCCTATAGCAACTCAACTGTGCATTGACTTTGTACATGAAAATAACAACGGGCTAGGCTACGAGGCTGACCCGCAGTTCCTCGGGGCTAGGCTACGAGGCTGACCCGCAGTTCCTCGGGGCTAGGCTACGAGGCTGACCCGCAGTTCCTCGGGGCTAGGCTACGAGGCTGACCCGCAGTTCCTCGGGGCTAGGCTACGAGGCTGACCCGCAGTTCCTCGGGGCTAGGCTACGAGGCTGACCCGCAGTTCCTCGGGGCTAGGCTACGAGGCTGACCCGCAGTTCCTCGGGGCTAGGCTACGAGGCTGACCCGCAGTTCCTCGGGGCTAGGCTACGAGGCTGACCCGCAGTTCCTCGGGGCTAGGCTACGAGGCTGACTAGCAGTTCCTCGGGGCTAGGCTACGAGGCTGACCCGCAGTTCCTCGGGGCTAGGCTACGAGGCTGACCCGCAGTTCCTCGGCGCCCGACAACAGTGTACTGTAGTATTTGTATTTCAGGTATACAGTAAAACCTGGTTTAAGCGACCACCCAACGGTGCAAGTAAAACCTGGTTTCAGCGACCACCCAACGGTGCAAGTAAAACCTGGTTTAAGCGACCACCCAACGGTGCAAGTAAAACCTGGTTTAAGCGACCACCCAACGGTGCAAGTAAAACCTGGTTTAAGCGACCACCCAACGGTGCAAGTAAAACCTGGTTTAAGCGACCACCCAACGGTGCAAGTAAAACCTGGTTTAAGCGACCACCCAACGGTGCAAGTAAAACCTGGTTTAAGCGACCACCCAACGGTGCAAGTAAAACCTGGTTTCAGCGACCACCCAACGGTGCAAGTAAAACCTGGTTTAAGCGACCACCCAACGGTGCAAGTAAAACCTGGTTTAAGCGACCACCCAACGGTGCAAGTAAAACCTGGTTTAAGCGACCACCCAACGGTGCAAGTAAAACCTGGTTTAAGCGACCACCCAACGGTGCAAGTAAAACCTGGTTTAAGCGACCACCCAACGGTGCAAGTAAAACCTGGTTTAAGCGACCACCCAACGGTGCAAGTAAAACCTGGTTCAAGCGACCACCCAACGGTGCAAGTAAAACCTGGTTGAAGCGACCACCCAACGGTGCAAGTAAAACCTGGTTTAAGCGACCACCCAACGGTGCAAGTAAAACCTGGTTTAAGCGACCACCCAACGGTGCAAGTAAAACCTGGTTTAAGCGACCACCCAACGGTGCAAGTAAAACCTGGTTTAAGCGACCACCCAACGGTGCAAGTAAAACCTGGTATAAGCGACCACCCAACGGTGCAAGTAAAACCTGGTTTAAGCGACCACCCAACGGTGCAAGTAAAACCTGGTTTAAGCGACCACCCAACGGTGCAAGTAAAACCTGGTTTAAGCGACCACCCAACGGTGCAAGTAAAACCTGGTTTAAGCGACCACCCAACGGTGCAAGTAAAACCTGGTTTAAGCGACCACCCAACGGTGCAAGTAAAACCTGGTATAAGCGACCACCCAACGGTGCAAGTAAAACCTGGTTTAAGCGACCACCCAACGGTGCAAGTAAAACCTGGTTTAAGCGACCACCCAACGGTGCAAGTAAAACCTGGTTTAAGCGACCACCCAACGGTGCAAGTAAAACCTGGTTTAAGCGACCACCCAACGGTGCAAGTAAAACCTGGTTTAAGCGACCACCCAACGGTGCAAGTAAAACCTGGTTCAAGCGACCACCCAACGGTGCAAGTAAAACCTGGTTGAAGCGACCACCCAACGGTGCAAGTAAAACCTGGTTTAAGCGACCACCCAACGGTGCAAGTAAAACCTGGTTTAAGCGACCACCCAACGGTGCAAGTAAAACCTGGTTTAAGCGACCACCCAACGGTGCAAGTAAAACCTGGTTTAAGCGACCACCCAACGGTGCAAGTAAAACCTGGTATAAGCGACCACCCAACGGTGCAAGTAAAACCTGGTTTAAGCGACCACCCAACGGTGCAAGTAAAACCTGGTTTAAGCGACCACCCAACGGTGCAAGTAAAACCTGGTTTAAGCGACCACCCAACGGTGCAAGTAAAACCTGGTTTAAGCGACCACCCAACGGTGCAAGTAAAAGCGGTTGTTAGAGCCAGGTGGTCTTTAGAACCAGGTCCCACAGTGTCTGTGTAGAACTGTCAGTGCATGGAAAAATGGTCGTTAATTAAGAGCAGGTGGTCGCTAAACACAGAGGTCGCTTACACCAGGTTTTACTGTAGCATTGAAACTTGATTGAATACATTGGTCGATCTCTCTCCTGTGTGCTTGTGTGTGGGTTTGTGCTCATGTAGGTCAATCATTGCAATCACGGATGTATCCTTGCAGTCACACAGTCTTTGGACACTGTTATGTTCAACGCTGCCATACTACTTGAAGTGCATGCCTTGGCCCCAACAGCTCCGGCATGCATTCAGGGTTTGGTTCAACATGATGGTTAATTGTCATGATAAGGAGATGTAGGCCATGGAAAATGGCGTCTGAGTGCATCGATCGTATGCAGGAGGGGGGCCTCAATGCTGAGCAAGGTCCTGAGATTACCCTGAGTGATTATGAAGTTGTGAGTTTGTCAGTGAGTTTGTCAGTGAGTGTGATTTGAATCAGTGAAGGTTAATTAAGTAGGATCATAGTGGCTAGTGTTGATCCCCAGCGTATTCTAGCTGTCACGTGCCTGTGTCTACCCTGCTCCCATCAAGTGACAGCAGAGGGACAAGTGATTTGCAGCAGCTCCGGGTTTCTTTCCTCGTACACTCCACTTCGTGTCTCGAGCACTTTTATTAACATTTCTGTGACTTCGAAGTACAGCAACAAATCCCGCATCTGAGTACATGTACCTAATGTCACAGAGCTTCATGTTGTTTGATGGGCACAGCTGCCTGTTTTCTACTAGCCTGGTGACATTATCCTTGACAGACGATGGCCCTCTACGGCTCTAGGCGAACAAATCCGGTGCCTTGGACTATGAAGAGTTCCAGGATGTGTTGGACCTGCTGATGAAGTGGAGGGTAAGCATTACTAGTTAGTCAAAATCAGGCCAAAAGTCACCACATGCAGGACATGCACCACCCATGCAGGGCATGCACCAGCAGAACATGCCCTACCCATGCAGGGCATGTCCCACCCATGCGGGACATGCCCCACCCATGAGGGGCATGCATCACCCGGCCATGCAGGACATGCCCCACCCATATATGACATGCTCTACCCAAGCAGGATATGTCCCACCCATGCAGGACCGTATGATACCCCAGGGCCACCCCTGCAGGACATGCACCGGTGGTGCAGCACACCAACACACTTCTTCTGCTTATTTGTATCCTTCTTTTGAATGGGCTCGCTTGCATTTCACTGCTATACACGGTTCAAACTGTTGCTATTCCTAACCTTGCATGTAGCTACTGTTTGCAACATAGCCTCTGTTCTGAGCTTTGCATGGGCCGTGCTATTTCGTGTGCAGACCTCGTTCCAGAAGTTTGACCGCACGCAGAAGGGCTACATCATGAAGCGGGATCTCGGAGATGCTCTTTACACCATGGGTACGTTGGGCTGTGCGTTTAATACCAGTACTAGCTTTTGGGCTGTGTGGTCGTTGCACTACTGCATTGTATAACCACTGATCTGTGCAGTGAACATGGCTCGGTGCATGGCTCGGTGCATGGCTCGGTGCATGGCTCGGTGCATGGCTTTATTCAGGGATTCAGACTACACTTGCAATCACTTACCTGCGCCACGCTCAGTAGTGATGATCGCACAGTAACGTCACGTTGCAAGGGTAGGTCGACTGTACTTACCCGTGCAAAGGCAATGATGAGAAATACATTGCTTTTGCTCGGACTGCTGCCTCCCCCAGGTCTGCCTAAGCTATCTACCATCACGCTGGGTACCCTGGTGAGGCGCTTCTCCAAGGACGGGAAGCTGTTCATCGACGACTATGTTCTGTGCAGCATCCGTGTGAAGGGAATGTACCGTAAGTGATCTGACAATGACGGCGGTGGAGATAGTCTCCCGGAGTGATTCTACAGTGGCATGTTTATTCTGTTTCAGTAGCTGTTAGCCGGTATTGGGTTTTTCCCCTTGCCGCTCAGTGGGCCAGTCCAGCTTGTTTCCTGTGGTGATCCGCTGTCATGGACTTTTAATCGAACTGTGGGTCAAAACCAGCACGGCCGATTGGCGACCAATAGTTTTGCTGGTTCACTCAGTATCGTTACGAAGTTTTCTTTTTAGTTTCTGTGCTTGGCTATAGGTGAGCTGTAGGCACTGGGTGTCCCATGGTTACAGCGATTCCTGCGACGAACCCTAGCTGCATGGAGAACGGCGCATAACAGTGTGGTTTGTTCATTGCTGCCACTGTAGTCTGTTCATGTGGGGTTTATACTTGCCTGATCGCCACTCGTTGACTGTCTGGCACTAGACGTTGTAATTGCCGGACACTGTAGACCAAGACAAAGCCTGCTCCAAATATGAGTGCATGTTGCGGCATGTTGACTGCAAGTGCATGTTGCGGCATGCCCAGCGAGCACCGGTTTGGTACTCTGTTTTTGGGTGACTGTACAGAACGCTTTGAAGCGCACAAGACGGCAAGTGGCAAAGCTAGCTTTGGATTGGATGAAGTGAGTACCACTCGGATCTGTTTTACCCAGTGATGCACAACACCGCCCGGCAGTTCTGGTCTGTTTCACCCAGTGATGCACAACACCGCCCGGCAGTTCTGGTCTGTTTCACCCAGTGACGCATGTTGTAGTAGTACAGTAGTCTGCACTGTGCACACATCCCGTACGTACGTGCCCTCATTATGCATGCACACACACACACACACACACACACACACACACACACACACACACACACACACACACACACACACACACACACACACACACACACATCTCTTGTGTGCTTCTTTATACACTACTCTGGATGGGAAATAAAGGGTTCTTCTTGACAACACAACAATGCACAGCGCAAGTACCTGTACTGGTCTGTTTCTCCTAATCCCGCAATACACCATACCAACAGCACTGTGTAGTGTGTTTGCCTGTACCTGGGTACCTGGGTACCTGGGTACCTGGGTAGTCAAGTCACAAACATTTTCTTGGATACTAATGATTCTGCACCGCCCATCGTTATCAGACATATGACTAGCGTGCTATGAGTGTGATGAAGCTCTGCTTGCAGCCTTGCATCCATATCATCACAAACCTTCACACAGTTGGCTGGTGCCTTCTAGGCTTCTAGAGACTTTGATCAGTGCATGCATGGGCTCCGCTTACAACAGTACAATGTGCATGTACTCATACAGTCACAGGTGGCAAGTGCCCCCCCCCCCCCCCCCGTAAGCACTCCCACAAACCGAGTTTTCATTGGGCGTACATGTGTGTGTGTGCGTGTGTGCATGTGTGTGCACTCGCATATACACGTCTGTATGTATGTGCCTATGTTTGTGTATGTGTTGTGCTATCTCCACAGTTCCTCCAGCTCACTTTGGATTCATAATCGGAGGTAACCGCAGAACATGGCGTCTTAGAAGCAAACAGTATCTCTGCATTGTGGAAATGGTTATGCCTCAATGCCATGGTTTCAGCCCAGCTACATGTGGGTGTCTCAAAAAGCTGCATTAGCAGCAGATGTGTTTATGTGTTGTGCTAGCGCCCATAGTAGTGGTTTCTGAATTTCATACTGGATCCATCAATGCTCTCAACATGTCAAAGATACTGTTGTAGTCCCGGCTCCTATATAGTTGGTGATGGCCATCTAGTTGCCTCACCTTCGCAATGGCTTCGCCCAACATAGTGCATGTAACATCTTAGTCTTATCGCCTTTAGATATTGCAGCAGCCACCTCTGCTGCTGCTGCTGCGGCTGCTTCTGCTGATGCTTGGCCAGCTAACTGACAGTGGCTGCCATCACCATCTGCGGCATTGCATTTGTACTCTGTATTGGAAGTACGGTGCATCAAGAATGGTAACTGCTACGCACACCGCTGGTACTCGTTGTGTGGCGCGGCAGCAACCAGTCGAAATATCTGCCTCATATGCAGTGTTTCTTCTGTGCATGCTCTTTCTGATCGCGTTAACACGCGTGTTGCCGCTGAGCATGCCAAGCAGCTCATCGATCATTGCCATGCTATGCCGCCGGCTAGCCCCTGCCACACTAGAGTCTACTTCAGTACTGTACTGCTCTGTGTACATCCGACTAGAGTCTACTTCAGTACTGTACTGCTCTCTGTGCACATCCGACTAGAGTCTAGAGTCTACTGAACTTTGGCTGTGCACTGTAGCTTCCAGCAATCCTACACCATCTAGATTGGAGTAAGTTCTATTTTCGTACAAATGAATTATACTGCACACAGTCTTAGTCTGGGTTCAATCCTTTATTAGTCCTGACCAGCTGCGTTACAGTGTGCTGTGCTTGCTGTGGTGGCCCTGGCTAGTACATGCTCCTTCAGGAACCTACCCACCCCATCGTCAACAGGGCCAGGACCCCTGGGGGAAGGGGGCAGGGGTCAGAATGATTTTGATGGATAATGCTCTGGGGGGGGGGTATCGTTGATCAGTGCCAATGCCGGAATATTGTGCGTGTAGTAAATAATTGACTCCTCTTGTTTTGTTGTGAGGTGTGGTCCATAATGCATGGTGATTGGGTGTTCCTTGGGCAACATGTGAGCCACCGTGGCACTGCCGGGTCATGGTTGTGATGATCTGTTGGCCTATCTGTCCCATACGGCCATGTGTAGCCGTAGTGCCACCCCCCCCCCCTCCCCCCCTCCCCCCCCCCAGATGTGGTCAACACTTCCAACAGGCATACATCATACATCATTGTAAAGCCGGACTCTACGTAGGCGTTGTTGTGCTAGTAACTACTACTACTACTACTACTACACTGTCTACAGCTGTAGTATAATAGAACTGTGTTCACGCTTCATGATTGGCACAATCAAGAATACCGGTACATGTACATACATGTACATGTACATGCATTGTACTGATGTAGCTGGGTTGTTTGGAGGGGCTGGGCCTGAGTACAAAGTCTTGGCAAGCTTAGTGCTGGCAAAACACCATGAACACAATAGTAGTACTAGTAGTAGTCTACTGAGTCTGTACACTCTACTCCAGACTCCATGATCCAGTATGATGCATGTACATGGTAGCACTGAGAATACATGACGTAATACTCTTTCTTTATGTACCGCGCATCTAATGTATGCGTACTTATTGCGTAGGGTACTCCTCGTCAATGATGGACATAGGATAAAATCTAGACGCATTTTGCCTGTGCAAGTTATGTTTTTCTGAATCTATGGTAATGAATGGGTCCATTTGTCAACATATTATAATCCAGCATGCAACTAATAGTAGAGGGCATACACGGAATACCCAATTATGAGCCAATTGTGCGTAATTCTGACAATTGAGATCGCTACATTTGAAATAAAGTATAGGACGTATCAGGGACGACCATTGGGACGCACAGTGACAAAAGGATACCACAGGCACTAGTTGCATGCATAAACAGCACCAGGGTATACCGGTAATCATGGTAATCATCTACATGTATTTCGCGAGTTCGCATCGAGTTCGCATCGACACGCGATGCGACGCGATCTGCGACGGACGCGTGCGATGCGAACTCGCGAAATACCATTCACAGAAGAAGTCAGTGATGCGACAAAATCTTGCTGATTTGGCTACGTCACCATGATATTCGCGCGGTTTGATACAACTTGTACAAATTTATAGGCAACTCTTGAACCTTTGTACAACTTTGCTGTAGAAAAGGTCAAAATCGTACCCCAAATCGCTTGTCGCATCGCATCGCAAAAGTTGAGCCAAGCTCAACTTCTGCGATGGCCCAGTTGCGGCAGTTGCGTGGGGTGCGACAAGGCTGCGATTTGGGGTTTTCCCGGTTTCGCGCCTGTCGCATCGCGTGTCGCATCGCAAAAAAGCTTCTGTGAATCCCAGTCCTTCGCGCATATATGCATGAACCGGCGCGGCCGAGTTCATCCGTTGCCACACAACGCCACGCACGTGCACGCATACGAGCATAGCTTAGCGAGAGCTGGCGAGAGTCGTATTTTTACAACTCACATGACTTGTTCAAGTAGTTGTGACTTCGACTTTGTCTGTCGTAGCGTTTGTTGACTGGCAAGACTCGAGTCGTAGTCGTAGATCTACTAGTAGTACTAGTACTAGTAGATGCTCGTAGACCTACGATCGTGGGACGTGGATGCAGAGCCACTAAAAAATACAGCGAGACCTGCTTCTCCGTCACTCGCCTGTTTCTTTGCTTCACCGAACTACGTGGTATTTCGTTCTCCGCTGTTTTCAATCAACAACCATGATTAGCTACTACTACTCCTCCGTTTCCAGTAACCTGGAGGTACGTTATGCTCTTCTATGGTGGCTGGTATTCGTCGCGATGCTATTTCAAGTAAGTTTTTTGAATTGACCTCTTACTTCTTCCAGATCAAGAAACACCAGCAAAAAATCGAGATGATTTTGGACTCCAAGAAGATTGAGTACAAGAAGATAGACATTGCAGCTGATCCTAATGCCAAGGACAGAATGCGTGAGCTGATGGGTGATGCCAAGGCACTGCCACCCCAGCTCTTCAACGGTGACACCTACTGTGGTGTAAGTCTTCTGAGTGAACTTTTCAAACTTTTATGGCCGAGTGTGTGCACAGCGTGTATTGGAGTGACCAACTGTGTTCGGGTGGATGGGAGAGGTCTTTGCTTTAGAGAAAACCGGCCGGTCTTCGCCTTACTGCCTGGTGCTGGTGACGAAGTCTTTATACCGGTATCTTTGTAATGGGGCGACCTGGTGAAGAAGACAGGAATGAAACGACCTAAGGTTACTGCGTGGGTTGTTCCTTTTGACCCCACGTACGTGAATACACGTGCCGTACGTGTATGTCATGACAATTTCACGTCAACGTTTCGCTTCCTCTTCTGATGGAACCACTGGGTTTGTTCGTCGTTCGAGTATGTGCCTCAAGGGTGATATTATTTGAATAGAAAAAGCACCTCAGCCTCCTCTTTTTCACCAGTCTTGGCTCCTGCGATTTGCGAATGAGTCATTGTACATGGTACATGTACCTTTCCTTGCATTGTTAAAACGTGAACTCTGAGAAAGCAAAGTGCCACCCCAGCAGATCTGCTGTGTGTGTGTGTGCGTGGTACATGTATGTGTGCTCGTGTGTGTGTGTGTTCGCGTGTCCTTGTGTGTATAAGTCTCGTGGTAGTTGAAATTGTTCAGACTGTGGTAAATTTTGTCAGGTTTTCGAAGACAAATTCGGAACGAGGCTCATCATGTTTGGGGTCAGCAGGTCACGGCCGCGATCCCGAGTTGCACTAGGCCACGGTTTGTGTAGAGCTTTCACGTCTGGGATCGAAATGATACGCATCTCGTTTCGGGTATTTTGGTCTCATGGCGTCTCCCTGGGCACATAGATGTGTGTTCGTTGGGGGAGGAAGAGCATGGTGCATGGATAATGAGAATGTGTGACCAACACTCACTTAATGGGATGCGTGAAACAGGGTTCTGTAAGTCAACAAAATCAATATTTGGCACAAATTTATTTTCGGCTATTTTCGGCCTGGCCATGTTTAGCCGAAATTTTGTTTTGCAAGGTTCAGTGTGACAGCAGTGTATACAGGCGGCAGCAGTACCGGCCGAACATTTGATGCAACCGAAATGGATTTTAGCCCTGGGAGGCTGACATTTGAATGGGCCGAAATGGGTTTTAGCCCTGGGAGGCTGACATTTGAATTGGCCGAACATTTTGTAGACAGTGTACAATGGCACCAAGACTTCAAGAGCGAATCTACGACTACACCATACAAAACCAGTTCATGTCGATGTCATTTTTTGTACACCTAAGTCAAGTGTGAATTCAAGTCTGCTGGAAAAGCAGTGAGTCTGGTTTGTAAATGTAAATGGTAATAAAATAAAGAAGCTGGATGTACATAGCTTCTCATACTTTGAACTGCATCTAATGAGAATGACTAGCAGGACCTGGCGCAGTGGGACAGGAACCTAAGGAAGATTGACAGCATCCAGGATGTTATAACAAAGTCCTTGTAGACACTGACTCCTTCTCCAGCAACAGAATGCAGTCATGTGACTCCCCATTCCCTGATGCCTTCCTCACTTTCTCTGTCAACGGGTCTACATTGATTCATCATCACCTTCCTTGACATCCTCTCCCTCCTCCTTTGTGCCAGCACCACAGCAGAAGTTAGTTGTTGCTACTGCTCTGTCACAGCCGGCAGCTGGGCGCCTATGATGTGCACTTCTCCTCTGTGTTGTTGCTTTTTTGAATTGACTGGTGGTCCCTGGCTGCGGTAGTGCATGAGCAGCAACCGCTGTGGCGTTATTAGCCCAAATGAAGAGGATGTCAAGGCGAGGTGCAGATGGAGCAAGAAAAGGATTTGTTCACAGTGGCAGTGCTGAAGTGACGACTGCGATGGAAGTGCGCGCAGGAATACCATGCAGGATAACATTAGTGTATTTTCGTCGATAAAGATTGGATTTTCAGTACAAACACTTTTTCCAGGAAATCTGGTGTGTGCTAATTCAACTCGGATGGTGAGCCAATTAAATTATGGTGAAAAAGGAGAAGGAAAAAATGTTACGATATCATAGTCATAACGCGTAACATTTTTCCTTCTCCTTTTTCACCAGAGTCTGTGCTGTTCGGATAGATACCCGTCGAGCCTTTGACTGTAATGTCTCTTGTCTTGTGCTCTCTTTCCTGTGCTGTGCGTAGAACTTCGAGGCCTTCGAAGAAGCATTGGAGTGTGAAAGTCTGTCAGAATTTCTGAAGCTGTGAGCCGTGCCAGAACTAGTATTGGACTATTGTGTATAAGAAATGCCCCATCCAGACAGTTAACATTATCTACTACTTTCCTACGTACGCTATCAGTGTATGTGTATGATGGCAATGAAGAAGAAAAATGATGATGATTGTAATCTTACTACCACATTAGCCACGATTTGTATTCTTTTAGTTTCCTTTCTCCTTTTCTTGAACAAGAAAAACTAGCTGGAGGTAGCGTTTCATCTCTTCTCCTCTGACTGGAGTTTTGTGCATGATGCATTGGAGTCACGCACCAGGGAACATAGAGTATGAATGAACTCAACCCAGAAGGATAAGAATTTTCCAGGCCAGTGATCATCCGGGTGTTGAGTATAACTTGCAAGAGGGTTCAACTCCAGGATGTCCGCAAAGTTCCAACTTCGACGTCACGTGTACTACTCACTCAGTTCACGTGTGGTTTCTGACTTGCCCCAGTGATCCGATCTTGTACATGCGTGTACAGAAACATACATGCATACATACATACATACATACATACATACATACATACATACTTTTTTTCTTCTTTTTATACATACATACTGTTGTGAATTCCAGCAGAAATCCAAGAGAGCTCGATACCGGGAAGGTAGAGCCGTGACACACTAGTCAGAACAACAGATGGCCTGATCAGGCCATCTGTTGTTCTGACTAGTGTGTACATACATACATACATACCGTATTTTCCGGGGTATAAGCCGCACCCCCCCCCCCCCCCCCTTTGTGAGGCAAAATATTGACTAAAAGTTGGTATTCGGAGTATAAGCCGCACCCACAAACCAAGACTTTTCACACTCATTGACAAGTGGCCTTTCTACAAGTTTATTATGGTTATGGAGCTAAATACCATGTTAGATCAGATTATGAAAAATAGAGTCCCCGTATACGCGTACCGTAAGGTGTAGCCTGCGCACTAAAACTAGTAAAAGTGCCGGGATAGCAACACAGGTGCGAAGCTGAGTCGAATGACATGTCACATGACGTCAGCATGCATACTAATGTATGCTAAGCATTCATTCGCGCAAGCATATTCGGTGTATAAGCCGCAGGGGCGATTTTTAGCGGAAAAAGTGCGGCTTATACCCCGGAAAATACGGTACATGTACAGTACTGCCGGTCGTCGAAGAACGGGGGGGGGGGGGTTGGCTTCGTAGCCTGTCGTTTTTATTTTCATGTGCTAGTTACTTCAGTCTATGCATAGTTGAGTCACGGTGTATGCATCGCTGTTGGTATGCTGTGTTTGAAATTCTAGCCTGTTCGTTCTTCACCGCCCAACAGTGCTGTAAGACTTGATACTTGACCATGGACGTGTGAAAACACATTCTGACATTGCTTGGTAGCATCAAGAGTACATAACCCCCTGCTGGTAGCATGTATAAAGCGTGCATTCCCCATGAAGAAAAAAAGTGACTGCTTTTTGGAACAACGCTGCTTCGGGCACTAACTGTTAGCATAACTTTGTGATTGTGTACTTTGACTTGAGTTTGTGACAAAAGGAATCGGTGCCGTTTCGGTCCCACTCAGTTTCATTATTGCTTGATTCCTCAGAGCTCAATTTACAAGAACTGACATGTTGATCGAATCCACAAAGTTGTTTCTTGTGGAAGTTTGCGCTCACTATTCAATTTGCACCTCGACAGAATGCATTAACCATGCCATCATACCGACACTTTACAGGGACTGTTCATTTTACCTACAGGGTTTGATGGAGACTACTTCGTCTGGCTGCTGGAAAGATTTTACCTCCTTCATTTAATAGCTAGTGCTAGGCGGATCCATGGAAATTAAGCTGCTTTTCAGCACAAAAAAAGTAGCGTACCAAAAGTACCAATATCAATACTAAAATTAATAGTCTCCAGAGTGTGTCAATGGGTAGTTTCTACTAGTTTGTCATGCCTTGAATTTTCAACCGGGGTCGAGATCCATCCAGGTTGAAATCTGGGAGTAGTACTGTATTGTACTGTCGATTTTGACAGCATGTTACGGCTTCTGTTTATATACTGTATTGTACTACTCCCTGGTCTCAACCAGGGAGCCCTACACATACCGGTATTCCGTGATTTTCTGTCGGTTGCTTTTCTGCTGTATTTTTTACCAGGCGTGGGCAATCCCCTGATTTCTTAGGTGCCAAACAAACAAACAAAAAACAATGAAAAAACACATACCGGTGTCAAGGTTATAATTTTACTCTTGCCGGTATGTGCAGGGCTCTCTGGCTGAGAATAGAAATCGGGCCATGTTCTGTCCCTCCAGGAATCTGCGATTTTACCGCGGAATTCATGTTTTTTTAATATCCCGCAGAATTCACAGTTTTCACCGCAGAATCGTGAAAAATCACGGTTTGGGGGCAATGCGAGCACGCGCTTCATACCGGTATTCATGCACATGCACAGTGCAATGTCCTGTCGCTATTTTGTTGCATTCAAAGTCGAGGGAGTTTTCTTTGTTGCTGTATTGAGCCTATCGTGTGTTTTCGACCACTAAATTTTTTATTGATACTTGTACATAGCATATAGCCATGTCTTTTCGCCGGTGCAGCGCCTTAGAAATACCGCAGAATTCACGCTATCCACCGCATAATGTAGCGATTTGTGCCGCAGAATTTCAACTTTCTGTCCACGGATTCCTGGAGAGACAGCATGTTGCGCAATCATGACACAAGCATAATGTATCTTGATTTCAACTAGTGTTGAAACGAATAATCGAATAATTTAGAATATTCGTGGGGTGAACGAATAATCGAATAGTCGTAGGAATTGTCAGAAATCGGAAAAAAAAAAAAAAAAAAAAAAGCGATCTATGCTCAATGCTGACCCTGCTGATATTTGCATTGCGTAGATCTGCTCGTAGTATTTCTTCTCAATCTCCTCTCCTCCAAGTTTTAATCTCCTACCGGTATCTAGTATTACTTCTCTTCTTTCCATACAAGGGAAACATGGATGTAGTGAATGTGATTTTCGGTCTTTGACCACTTTGTGGTGGGTCTGATCTACTCACCTCCCACCGCTTTAGGAGCTGCATCTGCGCCTTGATCCAAGAGGGTGGTGGCTTTCCTGCGGATGCGGAAAACTCGGCTTCTAGCCGAGTCTCACGCGAACCGTGAACGTTTTTTGAACTTTTTTCTCCATACTGTGCTCTTCTGTCATGTCTGCACCCTGTACTTGCCAGTGCATATACTGGTGGATCTACATGTACATGATTGTACATGTACGTGCATGTGCTGTACCGGTTAACCGGTTATGCACCTCCACAATACAAAATCCGATATTATTATAAATCAGCGAAAAATTTCAAAAAAACTACTTAAAAAGTACTGAAAAAGTGTTGAAAAATTCCATCATGCGTATGATAGAATATAGAATATTCGTTCGATGGAGGGCGAAATTATTCGATAGATTATTCGTTCGAAGAATCCGTGTTCGGTTTAAACACTAATTTCAACCCTCCTCCTCGGCACGCAAATGGGGGGTTACGGGGTCGTCATACCTTACTCTGGACACCCCAATACTAGTAATGCCTGAACATGCTTGCGTGCACACTTACACACATACACTTACACACTTACTTCCTTACACACATACACTTACATGGTACGCATTAGAATGAGTTCTAAATTATTTATATCAGCGAGCAAGCACTGAGGATGGGAAACAGCAAAAAACTGGAGAGCAGAAAACAGCATGCAAATCCACTGCAGAAACACCAGCAGCGGAATGCAAACATCCCAGTAGCGAAGTGTAAAGAAAGGCCTCACCCCGGCCGAAAAATTGCAGTATTAGAATTATTGGCAACAAGCTAGTATCGAGATGGGCCGTTGCCACTTATAGTACAGAATAAACAGCTTTTCTGGCAAATAGAGCTCTACAACACATCAACTGCCAGAGAGTATGGCAAGGATTCTGGGACGGAACATGGCCAAGGAATGAGGGTTCTGGGCAGGACCACAGGACGACTTACACTATTCTTTTTGTCTTCACAGCACGATAGAGCAGAGGAAACGGATATCATACCAATACGGGAGCTTTGCAATGAAACAAAATACTATTACTATACGCGAGTGCATGTGTGTGTTTGTGCATGTGCAGGTGCACATAGTGTGCAAGGTGACGAGACGCGGCCATGCGCCGGTGCTACTGGTACACAGAGGTATACAACTACAGTGTACGTGAACTACATGATGGAGCGCTAGTGTGCGCGTACAGTGCGATACAGCTGTTGTTGGGTTTTTAGGACATGAACGTTAGGCTGGCCTGGACGGAGCTTGACCCGGCGGCGGCCTGCTGGATCAATGTTGTTCTTGTTGTTGCGATTCGTTTCGTTTGGGAGTAGGGCGGCTTGCCAGTATAGCCTAGAGGGGATACGCTATGGCTTGCCGAGGAGGAGATCATAATTATGTCAATAGGGTTCTAATCCATCTACACCTTGATGGGTTTCTGTTTCCGCCGGAGAGCAAGTTTCGACGTGTTGACGCCCTGCAACTCTTTCGATTCCGGTGGCGCCTGGACAGCTTGGAAAGTTGCTTCGGCTTCATGCTGAGGTAAAAACCAAATGCAGCAGCAGAAGAAGAATACAATGACGTTGCATCAACAATGAATGTGACGTGAACACTTGAAATACAACAACAATAATGATGACAACAACAAGTTACAACAACACCAGACGAAGAAGAAAGAAGCAAAAGAAGGAAACAAAAAAGAAGAAGGTAATTAGCTTTGTCCCAATACCTTGATATTGCCACCATGCGCCTTCAGTCGAGTGTCGGGCAAAGTGTCAACTTGCCTCATCCACGGATGGTCAAGAATCTACACAAAACGAAGCAAACACATTGTTACTGAGTATGGCATGCAAACATATCTCATTTCTGTCATTGACTAAATGTACTGTCTAAAACGAAAGTGGATTGAACAGGAGATTATTATGACTGTCCTGGAGCACATCTCCATACCTCATACCGTACTTCCCCACATATAAGCGCATGGGCTTATAAGTGAAAATTTGCTACAAAAACGTTTTTTGCTGTGTGAACATGTTCGGGTAGAAGCCCATGCGCAATGTGCAATAAAAGGTTTGTCTGTGTCCTAAACAACGGTGTTATCACAATGCTCAGCAGTATATTCAGCTCCCGGGTGTTTCACCAATAGCGTTCACATAAAAAGCCCATGCGCGTATGTCCGGACATAAGCACATGCGCTGATATGTGCGGAAGTACGGTACCATAGTGCACACTGCGAGCAGAGAAATGTGGTATACTTGACCAAAATAGTTTGGCAAAAATCTCCCACATCTATTCACATAAATACGAAGGCACAGCCGAAAGCAGAATAAAACTGAACATGTACAAATCATAGCGGACCAGTCGATGGCAAGACAAAACGTAACATCACAATGGTCCTTACCATCTTTGCAAGAGGTCGTTGTCCGGGAACAATGTGCAGCATCGATTTGACCAGGTTCTGAAATATAGGGACACATATAAACGGGGGCGGACAGTTTTAATTAGTGGCAGGTGAAACTTCAATGTCAAACGCTAGGGCTGGTAAGCAGAGGGTGCACGATCAAATGAAGAAAAGCACTGATATTATTATGCCAAATCTGATACCGGTAAGAACAGTCGTGGGCCAGAACCTCACCTTTGCATCATCAGAGACGGTGTCCCAGTTGCCACCGGTAGTTTTCAGGTTATCCTCGACGATCTTAGAGAGGATCTGGTTTGGAGTGTCGTGGTCCTTGGTGCAGAAAGGACTTCGACTGTACCAGTACACACACAAAAAGTACAGGTATTTTGAGTTAGAACTTCGAGCGGTCCATCTGAATAGCAAATGTTGACAGCACACCATATCAAATACGTTTTCGGAACATCGTGTACTTTCATTATATGCAGACGCGGGCGGGTCGTTTCAAATACTTGAAGTAGCTCAACGATCACACAGTGCACAGTATACCAGAGTGTACAATGAAACAAGCAAGTGAAATACTACATGGTTTAATACAGGGCTTCGCAACAGTTGCATCGGCCGTTCAGTGCCAGGGAAGTCAGCCTCCAGAAAGCAAACCTACTTCACTGGGGTGGGTTTACTGGGTGTTAGAGGCCGCCGTGAGCTCCCTTGGGGAACGAACACGGTACTTTACTTTTATTTTTTTAACTTTACTGGACAAGGCACTTAGAGATAGCCTTGCATAAGGATGCTCTGAAACTGTCCAATTATGCATCATTAATTCATTATGCATGTGGTTGTGGCAACGTTAGTGCGAACTTCTAATTATATTGTCTACTTTACGCGGTTGTCTAAATCAGCTATCTGCGCTGCTGTTGGTTGGTCTCCCGCCACTGTTCTCTCTTACGAATGTATGATAGTAATGCTGTCCACAGCATTGAGCTGTACACTAGTTTTGCCATCAACATAGCAAGTGATCAACATCACCCAGGCACTTACCCAGCCAGCATCATGTAGAGCAGCACGCCAAGACTCCAGATATCCGCTGCGGCGTCGTAGCCCTGCTTCTTCAGGACCTCGGGCGCCACAAAGTTGGCCGTGTAGCAGGGTGTCATCAGCAGACCGTTCTCGGCACGCAGCTGCTTGGCAAAGCCAAAGTCAACGATGCGCAGAGATCCGGGAATGCAGCTCTCCTCCGCGTACAGGATATTGCTGGGCTTGAGGTCGCGATGGACAACCTGAACATGACAATAACATCATCAAACATATGGCAGCAGAACGCTAGTGATGTCACTGAAGATATCACAAAGGCACACAATGTCAATAGTACAACACCGTTTACTGATGGAAGTGAATTTTCAAATCACGGACGTGTGGAAGTAGTCAAGTCAATCTTGATTGCACACCCTTGGCTAAGGTGGTGGCTGATTGCAGTTTACAGAGCAATGAGCAGGACCGGAAACTGGCGAGATTGAAGACAAGAATTGAAGTATAGTGCACTTACACCCTGAGTATGCAGAGCGGCGACGGTCTTGCAAAGCACCCGCATTACTTGACAGGCCTCACGTTCGGAGAAGTATTTCTGCCTCACAATTCGATCGAGCAGTTCACCACCGCGAAGCAGCTCCGTTACAAGGTAGACCTTATTGCCGTATTGAAAGACCTGCAGGAACAACACAGCGACACAGGTGCATGCAGACGAGTTCAGTGTGAATGTTCAACAGAATGTGGGAGAGAGAGAGAGAGAGAGAGAGAGAGAGAGAGAGAGAGAGAGAGAGAGAGAGAGAGAGAGAGAGAGAAGAGAGAGAGAGAGAGAGAGAGAGAGAGAGAGAGAGAGAGAGAGAGAGAGAGAGAAAGAGAGAGAGAGGTTGCGAGATTGTTAAAGTAAAATATAAGGAACATTGAAAATATGAGATCATTGCCATTGGTGAGGTGACTGCAGCCTTTGGCCAGCAAAGTCATAATTGTTACAGTAGGCCAGCTATTACATGAACAAGGGAGCTACTGTGCTGCAACATAGAGCGAGGGAGAGTATAATAAAAAAAGTAAAGTTTGCACGTACGAGTTACCACCGGCTATAACAAGCTAGCGAAAAAGACACTGTCTCAGACGCGGTGTGTGCACTACGGCTGGGGTGGGGGTGAGAGGTCTGCTAGAGCCTGTCTGCACAGCTACAGGTGGAATCCTGATAATTCGAACCCCAAAATGCCAGGAAAAAAACTTCGACTGAAGTAATCACCCGGACATTCTAACTATCCAAACATGTACCCACAGCACATTATGAATGTCAAAATACTCGTATTGTCACGCAGGGTCGCACTATGCATCATAGACACAGATTTCGCGGACACTGAAGTGGACAGTAAAGTCTGCTCGTGTACATTGAACCGAATTGTACAGTGTACAGTGAACCTCGAAGTATCAGCACAAATTCTACACATTTGCTATGTATATGACATGGATTCCGTGGGACTTTTAACTTTTAAAAGCCATAATTCGAATTACCGTATTATCTCTAATATAAGCACGGTCCTTTATTTTTTCAATGTGCCTCCGTCCTGTGCTATTAATGGAGACGTTCCTTTAGGCTGTACTCACACTACTTGAAAGTTTGACGCGAATGTCGCGTTCAAAACTAGACAAAGGTACTTGAAAAAGCCTTTCCAAGCACACTGCACTCCAGTGACGACTTGAAACATTTTTGTCAGCAAATTACCATGGAGAAACATGATTGTCATGTGGTAGTTTTGCAAATCCCGAGGCTGCGTTGCTTCAATTTTTTTGCGCTCGATATTATTTGAATTTTTCAGTTCATGAGAAAAATAGAAACAGTTATATCTTGCTTGGATCGTGGAGTTCATTCGCCATGCCTCGCGAAGAAGTAGCACATCGTCGACGGATGAAGAGGTTTCTCTCCACAGCTCGATGAGCTTCTTCTCCAAGTCGTCAGAAAACACTACGCGAGGCATGATGTCGGTACAAAAGAAATGCGACAGAAACGGCAATCAAAACAACGGGAAGCTACTGGAAGAAAGAAGACGGAAAATACTCGGAAAAAACACCACAGAATTCAGAAATGACAGGCAAAAAAAGGAAACCACAAGTATATGTACAGGAGCAGTACGACCACGAGGAAACAAAGCATGAAAAATATTCTGGAGCCTTTCAACGTACATTAGTACTCCGGCCTCCTGACCTCACACAGCTTTCCAAACGGCTTGAAAGCAAAAAAACCTCGTAGAAGAGGGTTCCGTTTCCGTTTCCGCTGAAACCTTTCAAGCAGCTTTCAAGGGCTTTTTTCATTTTCGCAACCGTCACCGTGGCAACATTCACACGTAAGTCACTTGTATGCGGTTTTTCAAGTAGTGTGAGTACAGCCTTATTATTTCAACCTCATTTCAGAGGCATGTTGCCATGCCAAATTCATGTCAGACACACACATTTCAGGGTTTTTTTCGCCGGTACAGATAATGAATTTACAGTGTGCTTATAATGGAGACGGAGCACTTTATTTTTCGAATGCCGCCCAAGGTGTTCTATTATTGGAGACGTGCTATTTTTGGAGACTGTGCTTATATTAGAGATAATACGGTATCAGGATTCCACCCGTACTCAGGTAATTATGAAAGGCATCACACTGAAAAATCTTACTCTCTGTATTATTTGAACTTATAGGAGGCAAAAGAATTATCTACAACATTATCTACATGTACTGTAACAGTAATACAGTAACAGTAATACAGCAACGAAACAGGACATAACACACCACACTTACATCACGGACTTGCAAAACATTCGGCAGCTTGCCATACCGGGCCAGGATCTAACCAAGAACAGAAAAAAACACAGGAAACCTCAACACGTTGAAGAAAATTTATTGATGAAGACACAAAGCAATACAAACAAACTCAATGCCCTATCCTGTACAGGCTTCACAACACTCAACAAGTGAGAACGGCCCAGCAATGGAGGCAGCATTACCTCCACCTCCTCATCATTGTACGAAGAAGCAGTCTTGGTGATGATCTGAAAAGAAAAGAAACACAGAAGAGGATCACAGATGTAAAAACAGCACAAGTACAAGCAGAGCCTTTTGCCAGGTGGTACAATTTTGAACAACTCAGAAGATAGGCAATTTATTGGGTATTCTCCATCCATAAGTGATGAAGCCTAGGGCAGACTGCATACAAATAGGAACTCAACAGTGCATGACTGGCTCCTACCTTGACAGCACATTCTTCTTTGGTCTCCCTGTTGATACATTTGTGCACCACAGAGTACGATCCAATGCCAAGCTTCTCCTGGAAAAACAAACAAAGCAAGATGAAGCAGCAACACATTAAATTCTCAAGCCGGACGGCACCATTGGACAGTCTCAGTTGGTGTGAAACAGAGAACATTTAGGAAGCATGGTGCCGGAACAAAGCCGCGGGTAGACGCTCACCTCAGTAAGTGTATACTTGAGAAGAAAGTGATTGACACCTGTCGGTGCTGGTGCCTGAAAGAAGAAGGAAAGAGAAACGGAGTGGATCAACATTCATTTTGCAGATCGCTTTCACGCATCGTGTACATGCCCAGTGCAGCCATAGAAGATGACCGTGGTACACGACATATTACTAGACGGGCAGCAAGTTAAGTCGGTTAAAAATTTAGTCCATGGACCATAAATCGTATTAGAACGAGGTCAATCCTGTTGCCTAGGAGCTGACCAATCAGCGACTTTCCCACCGAAGGCTTTATGAGAGTCTAAAGCCCGCTCAATAGTAATATTACCACAGTACTGTCGGGTGCCGAAGAACTGGGGGGGGGGGTCAGGGTTCTAGCCCGTTCTTATTTCTAGCGAACACAGCGGTTTCGTTCTTATTCGATGGCACAACCTTACATGTCCATTTAGCAGGGTTACACGTCTGAGTGTACATCATAGTGTACATTACGGTTTCCGTTCTTTTTAAAATATCTGCAAAAATCCAGCCTAGACCGTTCTAAAAAATTGGTGAACAATTGTACCGTAATACGGTAAAAAGATCAAGATTATGCTAAGTATGTACCACGTGCGTACAAAATTAGAATATGTACAAAATATAGTACATAGTACACTCAAACGTCTCTTATCCGGACGCCTCAGATACGGGCACGTCTCTCTACCGGGCACCTTCAGCTTGAGATTCTATGGCAAAGTTGCTTCGATTTAGGGTTTTTGAACTTTTTCCGTATGCGCAAGTGTTCATTGGTCACTGTCAACCTGTGTAATCCACACATTTCCATCAGTGGATTCTTGTTTATCCTGAACACGAGCAATAGCTGCCAAAGAAACTTCATCAAAAAGATGATATGATACATGATTAGATGAGCTGCCCTGAGATACGGGCAGATCTGAGATACGGGCAGTGCCCGGTCCCAAGGCGCCCGGATAAGAGACGTTCGAGTGTACACAGTTCAACGTACGCATAATAGAACATTCTATAATGTAGGCTGCTTTCTTCTACAGATTATATTTATAGGGAAGAGAGGATGAACTCTCTATCATTTAGAGTGTTTAAAGAACAATGGCAGAGCCCAACCCCCAAAGATTCCGATCTGTAAGTGAAGAGGATCTGACGGAAGTTCTGGATTCCAGAGTTCCTGCCAAACCAAGGAAGCAAATCAATGTTGGCTTTCTGTTTTCAATACGTTTAACAAGAAGCAACCACGTTCAACAAAAATTGAGAAGGGTTCAAGGTCTGAGCTGAATACTTTCCTGTGCAAACTTTACGTTGCTGCTAAACGACAAGATGGTGGTTCATATCAACGTTCAAGCTATCTACGCTTTAGGCCGGCTCTATGCCGACACGTGGTTGAAAAGCGGAAATGGAATATCATCAGCGATCCTGAATTTGCCCGTTCCAACAACTGCTTGGATGGAGTTCTCAAGAAACTGAAGCGAGAAGGAGAACTACGACCAGTCAACCACAAGGACTATATCACCTGAGACAATGACTTCAAGAAGTTGAAGGACACGATACAAAGAGCCGGAGGTTCTTGTAATGGAGGTGTGGTTCTATATTACATATCACTTTGCACTCCGTGGAAGAGAAATCCAAAGACAGGTGAAGAAAACCAGCCTGGTTCTCAAGAAGGACGACAACGGAGATGAATATTTCCTTCTCAACGTTGAGCTTACCAGCAAAAACCATCCTGGTGGTATCGCTGACAGACATGAACCGCCGGCCACAGGAAGAATACAGGACCGAGATCAAGTCTTCAGTGTCAAGTATCTACTGTCACGCCTTCATCCTCAGCAAGAAGCGTTATTTCAAAAGCCAAAACCGAACCTGAGGAAAGGGGAGCAGATATGGCTTGAGAACATTCCCTCGGGCAAAAACTCCCTCGCTCAGATAATGCCCAAAATGTCTAAAGTGTGTGGTTTGTCCAAGATGTACACGAACCATTCTGTACAAGCTACTACTGCCCACCGTCTCTCAGCAGCAGGAGCTACAGATCGACACATCATGCAGGTAACAGGACACCGGAATGCCATGAGCCTGGCAAGCTACAGCAAGTCAACTGATGAACAACAGAGAAATATGACAGCTGTTTTAGATGCACCTTCATCTCAATCATCGGAAAGACGACAAGCAAATTCAGTATTAAGGGAATCAGTTGAAAGGTCAAGTTCAGCTGATCAAAACTGTCAAGAATCATCCACCTCGCGTCAAAAGGAATCTCAAGACAACATCACATCTACAACAAGCCCTGCGCAATCTCAATCTTCACGAACCAACTCGCCAATTAGACCCTACCGAAGTATATTCCATCGTCAAATTCATGTCCGCCTGTCAATCCGTCACCCGCACAAGCGTGTCTTCAACAGAATACTTCGAAAAAAGTATGTTCAACGTCTGTCCTTGATCCTCCGTCTCCAATGCAGCCACCGCCATCTTCAAATCGCAGAACCTCCTTCAGAAGTTAATGTTGCCTGTCTAAGACCAGCTCCAAGCTTTTTAATCCTCAACACCAACAGCAAAGAATTTATAATGCTCTTCAAACTGTTCCATAACACACAACAAGAGCTTCGGTTGTTGTAGCTTGACTCTGGTCAAGGCTACGAGTAAGATCATTTCAAACATTCTTTGATTCTGTCCTCATAAAGAGAAGTTGTTGGAAAAGGGAAAATGTAGTCGTTGGGAAAGTCGCTGATTGGTCAGCTCCTAGGCAACAGGATTGACCTCGCTCTAAAAATAGTTAATGCATGGCAGGGAGGGCCCTATGGCTTGTTAGTGCCCTCCAGGGTAGCCCTTGGGCCTACGGCCCTCTGACTACCCTGGAGGGCACTGACAAGCCATAGGGCCCTCCCTGCCCATGCACTAACCTATAATTCAGACGATGGGCAAATCGACGGGAGCCCGGCACTTAGTTTAGTCTGAAAACTACTAGTACTTGGACAAAAAAGACGAATATAGAACATGTACACACAACGGGCTTACCGGTGTCAGGCCAGACTCGTGCACAACTTCCTGCATGGGGCAAGCCAAAAAAGTAGGTCAGGTCAGCAAAAAATAACACAAACATGCACACACACACACACACACACACATAAGAGGCACAACCTACCAAGCAGCATCTATTGTACACTAATTACAATCATGCCAGTGTCGTACTTGGAAAAGTCAAGTACAATATTTCGGACCAGATGAAAAACCCATTGAAAGAGGACAACTGTCATTACTCCGGAATTCAATCCTGTCCGAAACCCCACGGACGAACAAAGCGAAAGCACCGAAAAATATTTAGTTGCCAAAAATCCCACGCATGCCTTACCGCGTTTAAATCGGCTGCCACAAAGCTGAAGCCCTTGAATATCTGGTGCGTGTTTGCACTTTCGGGTGCACCTGGTGAGTCTAACAAGAGTAAACACAAGTAGCACAGAAGCAGACAAAGCTTGATGAAGACAAGAACTAAATGCTTCGACACCAAAAACTTTACTTGAACAACATCGACAATGTCCAAGAACAAGTTTGCACAAACATGAACTTACTGCTAGTTCCTAAGAAAAACTCCAAACAATAGACAATGCAGGAGTGTGCCCACAGCTATGGGACACTGCGAACAGAGAATTCTGAGAAGACTCACCAACTGGTGCCTGGGAGGTGAACTCAGGATCAAAATTGACAGTGAATTCTCTGCTTACAGCAGGCCTGAACGGAGGCTCGACTTCTCGCTTGAATAGCCGCTGGAGAGACACACACAACAATAGCCATGAACACATACTGGTATCTCATCATGCACAAGGGAAAGAGGTTAGGAGACCCAAACAAGTACGTACGTCCCAGTTGATCTTCCTGAAGAAGGAATGGCGTTTCAAAAGCGTGAAGCCGTTCGGACCAGTTCCTGAGAGGAGAAAAGTTCAAAGAAACAGGGATACAAATCAGGCCGATAGAGGCTAGATCATAAAATTAATACTTTTAAAAATACACTAAGTAACCATGCATATGAACCAATACATATGTATGTTACAATGTGGCAATATTGGCCGGTAGCCAACATGATAAAGCTGCAGATTTTGTTTTCTATAGGGCTTGAGAGTAAAGCCGTCAACTAAAGACTTCTGGGTCAAATTGGATCACAGTGAAGCACCGAGGGTAGGCCCCATGCGCTGGATACAGACGCGAGTTTCTGTACCAGGAGTGGCATGAGCTCAGGAGACTGTCTCCGTCAAGCAGTGCTCGCAAGTATGCCATCGCCATCCTCATGAAGCATATGAGAGTTTCCTGGAAGGCTCAATCATGATGCTATCGAAGCGACCGTCAGCACGTTACTCAGGTAGAGTGTGTGTGTGTGTTTCGTAGTTTGCTTCAAACAGAAGATGGTATAAAAAGTGAGGAGTATTGTAACGCTAGCCATCTGACAATATGGGAAGGGCTATACACAAAGTCCTGAAAGAGAACACCCGAAGACTTATAAAGCACGCGATACACCCCAAAAAAATTCAACAACTTACCGAGACGGTTAGCCGGGTTCCTCTTGAATAATGCCCGCAATAAGCTCTGAGCTTCAGGACTGAGGAACTGGGGCATGGCGAGCTTGGCTCTACACGTGATTGAAAAATGAAAACGAGACTACTATTATTAACACAACGTGCACTTGAAGACAGAAAGCAGCAGTAAATAAGAGCAGCGGGAGTTGGAACCGGTCATTACAGTTGTTTTGAAAGCGGTACAACTGGTCCATACATTGGTTTTGAAAGTTGCATTGGTTTTGGACTACAGAGCTGATTGGTCTCTGCACTGTACCATGTAGATCTAAATTGCAGCAATACCTGCACAATGCAGTCAGAGAAACATCCCAAGGCTGTACTTCAGTAAATGTACATGTACTACCTGTACTTACTTCAGGATCAAGGTCATGGTTGTCTTTCTGTTGCCGGATTGGAATGGTAATGTGCCAGTCAACATTTCAAACTGGGTTGAGCAGAGAATCGAGAAAAGACAGGAACAAAGCATGAATTCGCAAGTCACCATTGCTATTGGTATGCTGACAATTGTCGGTAGGGCATGGGAAATGAAAAAACCAGTAACTGATCCAGGACCATTGAGACGCATCCCTAATAAGTGAGACCGGCTTACCATCAGGACACCAAACGACCACCAGTCAGCGGTGTGGTCATGACCACGACGATTCACAACCTGCAGAGAAGAGAACCGTTGTTGTACACATAGCGAACAGCACGGGTTAGCAAAAAGAAATATTCACTGGCTTGAGGGAAAGACACAAACGGGAAAAGTCTGAAGAAAAATGTTACTGTCACCACCAGGACTCGAACCAGGGACCCTCGCTTGTAGCTAGCGATGCTCTAACCACTGAGCTATGGTGTAGTTGTCATCAAAAAAGAAATAGCATGGATCCGTGAACCGGCCAGGTCAAGAACTGCCTTTTCCGATTCTGTGCCAGGAGCTGAACCCCCCAAAATCTACCACATCCATGTTCCTCTTGTGCCCGGTCGCAAGTGCAATGAAGACCTAAGTACTCATACGTGTACTAGTAATATGCCCTGTCAATCTTATCAGTAATGATAAATGACCAGCACAAACTTACTTCGGGTGCCATGTACTCCACCGTTCCACAGAACGAGTAGGCCTTATCATCCTGCATGTCCGAGGATTCTTTACATAGTCCAAAGTCGGTGACGCGAATGTGCCCCTCAGAGTCAAGCAGCACACTGCGAATGCAAAGACACCCAACAAAACAACAAAGGTTTGAAACAACAACAACAACAACAGCATAAGCACCGTGCAGACACAACATCAGAAAAAGGCCACTGACCTCCAAGAATAGCTTTTCTGCAAGAACTTACTTTTCAGGTTTCAAGTCGCGATAGATGATGCCGAGTGAGTGGAGATGGTTGAGTGCCAGAGCAAGCTCAGCTAGGTAAAAGGTGACATCATCCTCCGTGAACATCACCTGTACAGGGAACACAAATGACACATGCCGGCGATAAGGGAATCAAACACCAGCTAACAGCAGGGCAATGAAAACATGAACACATCTCTACAGGGATCAGTCCCAACTACAATACAGAACATGTATACATCCAGTTCCAGCCAACAGGTTCTCTACAAACCCAGACTGCAAGCAATTATTGGCAAAAAAAGCAAGGGATTGAATATACAGTAACACCATGCAGTGGCCGGGTGTAGGCACAGCGACTGGGGTATTGAGTTGCTCGTGTGCTTACTTCACGGTTGAGACGATTGAAAAGATCACCGCCCCGCAGGAACTCCAGGATCAAGTAGACCTTGTCACTGGTCTGGAAAGCTACAAAATACACACACACAAATCGAAATGGCAGGTGATGGACATAATTATTGGCAGGGACACGGAAAGGACAAAATCAAGCCATAAAGTTGGCTGGAACAGACCACTGTTGGATAATCACAAGACAGATAGGCACCAGAAAAACTATGCTCTAATTCATGAGTTTGTATAGGAACCACTGGTTCCTCATTGCTTCACCATTCCATTTTGCTCATTCCGCTAAGACTAGTATCTTACCGTAACGAAGTTGGACAACGAAAGGATGGTCAATGTCCTTCAGAATGTTACGTTCCATCTTTGTGCGATATCGATCACGAACTGCAATTCGACAAGAAACCAACACCACAGAAGAAGAGAGATCACCAAAATGTCAGCGAATGCAGTGAACACCTCAAATCGTGAATGGAATCATCAGAAATATAATCAGTCTGTTCAGAAAGCACAGTACCATTCTGCCACGCACACAGCAGTACTGTAAGGTAGGTAGAACACGATTGAAGCGAGCTCTGGCAGCTTTTAAAAGAGAGTGCTCCATACACAGCGGTGCAGAGTCATACATGCACATGCATACGGAGAAGGGCAAACACTGTACTGGCCGTGACTCGGAGTTAAAAGGATAAAGCAATCATCCAATAAGTGCGTACTATGCAATCCAGTAGCAACAGCCATTTACAGGAGAAAATAAGGGTGCTGGTGTACTACGAAGCAGATGCAGAGTCAGGCCCGTAGCAGCCCCATTGTGGTTGGTCCGGCAAGATCCGACCTTGATGCCCCCCCCCCCCCAGCCCACACTCCTACATATGCCGGTACATGTACATGTACAAAGTGTAAATGATTGTACGTGTATGTACAGTTGTATGTAATTGTGACCATGCAGAGTGACATAGGGCGAGAAAAGGAAGAAGGATGTTCTGCATGAGTCAGGAAAAAGGGCATCAGCATGTTGTGTCCGTCCAAACAGAACTTGTTGAAGCCTATGAAGGCATAGCAACAGTATCTAAACGCATGTGATAACTCTGAAGAACCAAAAATGGACCTTTGGTCCCTTGGGGGAGGAGAAAGGACATTACAATGGAGGAATGGCAGGAGGTCATAAAACACAGGACAACACCCACATAGATCTATGTACATGGTATTCGCAACAACATGTACATGACATGTACTTGAGGACTACTAGAGTTCAAACTTCAAAGTATATACTTGCTATTACCATGTACTACCTCTACTTATATTATACCTCACTACGGCTCTACTTATTGCACACATCATGGGTGGACATCTTGCTGAGCTGCTTATATGTGTGAGCTCCTTCTTTTTTTTTCTTTTTTTTTGCCAAACATTGGTCTGGCAGCTGCCGGACCGCCTGCTACGGCCCTGAGAGTTGAAGCCACAAACTGGATGCTGACCCGGCCTTTCACCAACAAAGCGCGGGTAAGATGCTCCAAAAAACGTTAAAGGGTGGCAGCGCTAACCGGAGTACAATGAGTAAGAAAAAGAGGGGGGGGGGGCTATCTAAATGCCTTACCTTTGAGCGTGGCCTTCCGTAACACCTTCATAGCATACAGTTTTCCACCATCTGCGCCTTTCTTCTTGCGAACCAGGAAAACCTAACGATGAGACAGGCAAAGAAGACGCTGCATATATTAGCTGAAGTGAAATAACCCCGAAAGTATAGCGTAGTAATGTAATCACTGTGATGTCACAAACTACAGCATCAGACAGCTAGACACTGACACAGCTGAAACATTGAAGCAAGCACCTTCCATTGCACAGAGATCCATCTCTGCCAAGCAGTCAAGCTTGAATATCAAACTCCTACTAGAATACGTACCGGCCTGGTACACCCGGTGGTGAGCCCTTTGGTGTGCGTGCCTGCATACACTGCTCTAACAGACCCACTTCAAACCTTCTGCTGGGAAAACAGCTCGAACGTGTCACTCTATTCCAGCGAAAAAGATGCTATACCAATGGGAAATGGCAGTTACTTACCTTGCCAAAAGAGCCCTGGCCTAGGACCTTGAGCAATTCAAAATCATCTGTAGTGACATTGTCGCCATGTTCTTGCACAAGCTTGGCGACACTCAAGTCATGCTCCTTTTCCTGAAGTGACCAAGGAGGGGAGAGTAGAAACCAAACCACGGGCATGCACTACTTGTACTAGCGCACTTTGAAAGAAAACAATATTCAGGTATTCTAACAAATCCCATATTCGGTGATGGCATGAACTGGCGTAAGCAAATGCAATTCAAAAAGGACTGATCCAGATACAATTGCATGTACGAGTACACAGCTGCCGATGCAGCAGTAAGCACCCAGGCTACCAACCTTAGTCGGCGTGTGTTCATCTTTGAACTCCTCCTCAGCCGCAACCAAATCCGCGGGGATCACAGTTGGATGGTCCTGTGCCAACATGAGAATGATTCAAGACACAGACATATATCACATAATTATAGCATACATATAATATAATATCTGGCCACAGCCACGACCAGTCGGGACATGCCACTCAAAAGAGTGCAGATCGATGTGCATGGCAACATAATTATACTTTGACTATGCAGCGCAGGCGTCGTGGAGCAATGGCATCAGCAGGGCCAGGACGCACGCTGTCAATTTCCAGACGCAAGACTCGTCAACGCTTACAAGAGATATAGTAAAATAAAAGACTGTACTAAATTACCTCTATGCGTCACGTGATGACCTGTTGTAGTACCGGCCTGTACTTCAAAGTTAAAAAATAAATTTAAAAACAAGCTCCAGGCTCTTTGCAAGGTACATTCTAAAGTATTTTCATTGCCTTCTATGCAGGTGGATGCAGGCAAATACCGTAATCTTCGTGTATAAGAGCAGGTGCTTACGGCCATAGAAGCCGGGGTTCAAACCGTGCTTCTATTCAAAACATGCTTCTACATGTCAACATCTTCAGTCTACACTGTACAGTGTACATTGTCACACATGTAGTGTGCAAGTACATGTGCTTCTATTCAAACCATGCTTCTGTGTCATGGCACGCTTTGGAAATTCAGCTTCTATTAGAGTCATGCTTTTATACGCGACATTACAGTACAACATACTTTTTTACATGAAGAGCAGGCAATGTAAACTACTTGTGGAAACTTCACAACGTTGTTTGCAAAGAGCCTTAGCTTGCTTCATTACTTAGTCTGATTGGTCATTTGTTTCCAAAACTATTCAAAAAGTTTATAGGGACAACTTTTCGGTTTGCTTCATCCCACCATTGTGTACCTGTGTTTGTCCTGTGAAAGTGTTAACTGTGCAGCTAACTAATAATTATTCTGTTTGTTAGAGACAATACCCATAATGTGTCGTCCGTGTGTAAGTCAACCAAAAAAGTACTGTATAAGCAGAAATATTCGTCTTTTTCGTCCAAGGAGCATTTGGACTAAATTAAATGCCGGACTAATGTCGATTTGTCCAGTTTTTCAATAGGGCTTGAAAGTGATGACGTCAAAAACGGCCAGGGAGTAGTAAGTTCACATCAGATTTCTAGTTTGGATCACTCTAAGGTGTGACTTTGCTATTGCCTCAGTGTGTGGGTGCATAGCAACCCAACTCCCAAGCATGTGGCATGCAGATGTGACTTTTTCGCCACCAGTTGTCACCCCACCCCCATTAGCCAACCCAGTCAGTTTCACTGGCTATATCACCTTGTTGTGAGTAAGACCGCTTGAAATGTGCTTGGATCCATACAAAAACTGAATCAAAGTGGATCCAGTTTTTGAATTTTTGAAATTGTTGCTATGCTGTGATGTAGCGCTTTCAAGCCCTGTACACTCTTATGATCCATGGACGAAATTTACAACCGGACGAACTCCCTTTCTTTGGAGGTTGGACGAAATTATTGACCGACGAAATGTTCTACCTGTGCAGTATGCAGCAGCACATGGTAAAGTACTAACACAGGACAATCACACATAATTCACAGGCTGTGCAACAAATCTCCACTGAGCAGTCTGCCATGGAACAGACTTGGTGATACTATTGATGCTGTAAATAACTAATACTGTGACTTACTGTGAATGTGTGATACCACATGACTTTTGTAATGTACCAACAGCTGACTGCTTGTACAATGTAGATGCATGTGCTTGACAAATTACACTGTGTGACACTGTACTGATAAGTGATACCACACTGCTTTACAGCTAGCATGTCTGCCAGTATGGTATGGTGCGTGGAGCACGCTTGACACAATCAGTGTCACTACAACTTAGTACAAGTACAACTGACTGTACAAGTCCACCAACTGTGACAGTGAACAACATGTTACATAGGGATTCATCACACCACATGCACACTCACTACACAGTAAAAAAAATAACAATCATGCACAGTTGGATCTTCATTGTACTCGTGGGGGCCGGCAGGCGGCCTATGGCCAAGATGATTGTAGTTCACAAGTCAAGCGAATCACTCCTGAACAATTACATAATTATCAATTACCATGCCATAGACACATCGGATTTTCTCCGATTATTCTGCAATATTAGTTTTTCGCTTGGATCAGCGCAAAAGTCAGAACTAATTATTGGCATGGCGGCTTATAGATGCTGCTTTCTTTCGGCTTGAGGAACACGACTGAAGCCAGTAGGGCAAACCTCTTCTACCCACTTAGCTTTTTCGAGTGTGGCGCATACTATTGCGAGAACTGGAGTACATGGTTGTACAGGAGCTGCGGCGCCGTCATGTTTCCCTGGCAAAATAAAAATTATTCCTGAGCAGCTAGCGCAGTGTTACAAGATGTCGTGTGGTGAATATTTGGAAGATCACTACAACATGGCACTCGTTCCATTCGTTCTCTCCAGAAGCCATACACACACGGAAACAACAATGAAAAATGTATGTCAAAACCCACGAATGAAGAAGTGTCAACAGGTAGCGTATACGATTACATTTCAAGTTTTTTTTAATTCTGTTTTGAGTGCTTCTATCCGTGATCGCCCGGATCTTTGCTTCAGAGAGGGGTATACTGAAGAGAATCGCCCAGCCACACTGCATACACTAGCGGAATGCAAGGAAGTCCTACCATTCAAACACTTCCCAGAAGGGGATTCAAATTTTAGAATCAGAACTGCAAAGAAAAACCAAAACTGGCAAAAGTAACTGACGCGCGAAACGTACTACTCAACTAGTTGAACATCACAAAAGGCAGGAGAGCCCGGGACCATACTTTCAAAACAGAAATGAACTTGAATGCCAAATGTTGGTGACTTTTGGTACGAAAAAGCCTTCATCTTTCAAATATAGAGGACTCATCTCAAATGCAGACACAATCGCCTCACCTTTGGTTTACTGCCATCCTCGGGTCCCCAAACATTAGTTTTCGCAAGAGGCATGGCTGATAGTGGCGTTGGGACTGTGGATCAATCCAGGAAAAAACACCCTGTCGGTCTCTGTGTCTCTCTCTCTCCACCACACTCCCTCCAAGTCTACTGCTCCTGCCCGAGCTCTTCTGCAAAGAAAAAAATCTCCAGCCAAGCCACACGCGACCTGAGTGTATCGTCACTGCGTGGCAATGACATGCAGGCTTTGCAGCGGACGTGGGTGACAACTGACAAGCCACCTAGCACCTCTTGAGTTGAGTGCCACCCCCACACTTTCACCAGCACTGTGACTGTGTGAACCACCACAGAATGATGTACAGACTACACACGTACACAGCAGGCCAGGCCGGTCGAAAGGAAACACTCCGAAACCTCTGGGCACCAGAAAAATAATAACGATGAAGATTGAATACCCTTGATAACGGTATACCAGGCCCAAGGGATTATTACTACTTGGCGCTGAATGTGGCAATTTGAATCAAACCCTCAGAATGCGTACGGCGTCAACATGTACTACTGTACTAGGATTATAACGACAAGCTGACGAGAACTATTTCCCACCAATAAACTGCAGTAGGTTTCCTCAGAATCCTCACACTTCTGCACGTCTGTGCACTGTCAGTGGTCTACCTGGGTCACTCATTTTCAATGATCGTCACAGTGTTGTTTTTAGCTATTCTTCTCTGACCTGTGTACCTGCTACCTGACTACATAATCACCCCTCCGCTGTACTTTTAACCTTTTGCACCCCGAGCTCGTTTTGTAGCATGCCCTGCTTTCCCAAGCCCGAGCTCGGGTAGAGCTAGAAGTACAGAACTTCAGAAGGCGAGTCGATCCGAGTATGACCTTTCGGACTGGACTGGACTGAACTATTCCAAATTTAACAACGAGGGGTTACGGGTGCGAGTCAACCCCTTGGCCCTGTGACACAGATTTCTGTGCCGTGTCACCTCCCTAGTTTGAGTACGACTCCCTAGATCCCTGCTGGGTACGGAATATCTCTTAGAGGCCCGATAGAGGAGCTCTCAACAGAGCGTGAAGGCAACTCTATTGCTCCTGCTGAGTGGTTATTTTCTTCGTTTGGACAGAGAAGGCTTCAAGCTTTCCAAAGAGCCCAAGATCATCAAATTCCGTTCCTGGTGAGTGAAGTTAGAATTTTTTCAAATCACGGGTCTGCTCATGCAGGGCAACAGAGGGAGAGGCTCAGAGAGCGACTGGGAATTCATGGGATTCAGGCCGGGGTGGAAAAGGATAAAATAATTCATTGTCCTTGCTCTTTTGCTCTTGCCTGTACTGTATTCCACCTGAAGAGAAGGCTTGAATCAAGAGTTAGTAGGGGGGGGGGGGGGTATCATGGTTATATTATACTCTTGCTTGAATGTATGTCAGCTCGTGGATTACTAAAAGACAAAGTTATTATTTTCAGAAGAATGTTGCTGTTGAGGAACCTAAGTGTGTGCTCCTTCTAAATGTTATACATGTACATGTAACTTCTCAAAGTACACAGTCATATGAAATGGCGAAGTAATAACCAATTCAGACTTTTCCCGTTTGTGTCTTTCCCTCAAACCAGTGAATAATAACCAAGTATTAAAAATAACTTGATCTTGATGATCAAAGTGAGTTCCAGCAGTTTGTAACGGTTACACCATGTACCAGCGAGATCACGCTTTTACGACCATTATACAGTACATTACTTCAGTGTCAAGTTCATGACGATCTTGAGACTTGAAAGTTGATTGTTTGGTTGTGTAACTTCAACTAACTTGTGAGTGCCTACTAGAACTGTTGTTGACAGCTCAACTTGAAGGCGGGGAGTACCGGAGTAGCACAAATTGACAATGAACAGACAAGAGTATAATAATGTATTCTTGACACTACACCTCATGTAAAACCATGAGCCCATGCGACCGTGGACGGTGGAGTTACCTTGAGCACATCCCAGATCATGAAGCCTGGCGGCCTCATGCACTCTTCCTGGACTGGTTGATCCTGAATGTAGGATTGCTTGGAGCGAATAGCACAACATCATGACTTGTTGCGGTTGTCAGTGGGTGGCTGCTGGCCGCCTGCTGAGTGTTGTTAGCCAATAAGACTTACCGGTACTGATGAAAGTCATAACCACGCAAGAGTTCATAACGGTTAACCCCATGGACTCCTGTCATAACCAATGATTACTAGTGTGTAACTCGCGTGACTTTCTACTAGTATCTGATCAGCTGACTGATCTGACTGAAGTGAAGATTGTGTAAGTGTATATCACTGTTGAGGCATCCGATGGTAAATAAAAATACTACTACTAGTACTAGTAGATCTACTACTACTTCTACTAAGTAAGTATTCCGCACCAGCCTGTGCATGTGACCAGGCGTAGGAGCTGCAGGAAGCGTGGCTAGCAGTAGCATGCTAGCACTATAGATATAGCAGGGAGGAGCACTGATATTAATACAAAAATTAATCATACAATGTCATGTTGGTTGACACTTGATAGCATGTTACAAGGCGGAGGACGCACTGTGTTCGGAAACAGTGGCCCTTTACTGCTGTCAAGTGTCAACCAACAACACGTTTTCAACAAAACATGGCTTTAAAAAATATCTACAATATCAAAATCATACATGTACGAGATCCGAGCTCTGGTGTGGGAGCAAACATGCACCTTTCATACACGTTGTTGTTGTTGTTTATTTATTTTACATCGCGTGTCAAACGGGCAGTTCTGCCCATCATGAAAGCGATGACACGTACTCTGTCTGTAGTTTACTTACTACTCCCTAGTGGCTAGTGTCTAAAACGCCGGCATGGCAGAATCTTGACTACAGTCATGTACATGTGCATGGCTATGCCTGAAGAAGGGCTAAGGCTTCCTCAGAATCCTGCATCGCAGCTTCACCTCTGAAAATAAGGAATTCGAGTACCGGGTGGACACACCCATTCCCATAAAGCTGCACATCGCTGCATATCCGTGGAATATGGCGGCTGCCTAAGCCTGCCTGCATAATAACTTCCATAAGTAAAACGTCAGCTACGCGGCCAAGTGCGCCTCCGAGCCTGCAACGCAGAGCAAAACTACTTCTTTCCCTTCTATTTTGCTACCCTTCCCATGATTGATACTGGCTTCTGCTTTTCTCGCGTACGGGAAACCCATCGCGCGACCGTCGCGCGATGGGTTTCCCGTACGCGAAATAGTTGAGCTCAGATCAACTTTGTCGCGACGCGTTTCCCGTACGCGACATGAAGTATAAATCGGGCTTTGCCCTTTTGGTCTGCGATACAAAATAAAATCTCGACAGCTACAACAACAACAAACAATCCTGCTGGTTCTGGTCCATCTTCTATTCACAGTGCATCATGTTCATGTACAATGTACATATACTTAGTACATTCATAGATACATGCCCTGCAGGCTGTTGTCATTGGATGGTGAATGAATACAAAAATAAGTTCATTACTTTTTTAATACACTCATGTAATTCGAGGGATGTGCATGTGAGAACTAACAAGACGTTAGCAAAAAGTCTCGAATTTCAGCTACTTTCACCTACATTATTAGGCCTCGACCAAAATATGCTTGCGCATATTTCCGCATATTTTGTGAGACAGTTCAAGTATATGGCATATTGAGCGACAAGGGGAATATTGGAATGAAGCCAGCATATATTCACGGAGAGAAGCTAAATCCGCCTTCGTATCCACTACCGCACAAGGCGACGTAACTGGTGTCCCGCAGCGAAACCTGTACAAGTTAATGAAATCACTGCGGTCGTCCCCGAAAAAGGAGCTTCCACCTATTTCAGCGAACGAAACAGTGGCTAGATCAGATGGAGAAAAGGCGGAAGCGTTTAACAATTTTTTCATTTCGGAAAGCCAGAAGTCCGTCTCCGGACCAACTGAAGCCGTGTCAGAGATTGGCGTGTCGCGCATCATCGGAAGCGAACTGAAGGAAATCATCACCACAGGAGGAGGTCAGAAAACTCCTTTCCGCTCTTGATTTCCGGAAGTCGGCTGGGTACGATGGCATCCCGACGAAATTGCTCAAGATCACTGCAGACGAAATATCGTGCTCCCTCGCAACACTTTTCAACGAGTCCTTCTCGCGAGGCGAGCAGCCACAGGACTGGCGCGACGCCACTATCAGTCCTCTACACAAGAAAGCCTCTCGTGCAGAGGTCACCAATTATAGGCCAATCTCGCTCCTAAGCGTTGTCAGCAAGGTTCAGGAGAGGATTGTTCACCAACGCCTCTACACCCACATTGAGCCCCACCTACCGGCCGACCAATCTGGATTTCGATCTAAGGATAGTACTGAACTACAGCTCTCCCGCCTAGTGCATGAGATTTCCGCCAGCCGAGATTCCGGTCAGGCAGTGTCAGCATGCTTCTTTGACTTATCAAAGGCTTTTGACCGAGTCTGGCATGCTGGCCTCCTGGCCAAACTCGAGCACCTTGGTGTCCGTGGCATTGCCCTTACCTGGCTCACAAGCTACCTGACTCGCCGCCGACAACGCGTCAAGGTTGGCTCCGCTTTGTCATCATGGAAATCCATTCCAGCTGGAGTACCCCAGGGCTCTGTCCTGGGGCCTCTTCTTTTCCTGGTGTACACGATCGACCTCCCCCCAGCATGTACAAACTCTCACACTAAATGCAGCCAGTTCGCCGATGACACGGCACTCATCACGACGCATTACACGAGGGATTTGTCAGCTGCATTCCTCCAACGTGCCGTGGACGCAGCAGGACGATGGTTGAAGGATTGGCATCTCCTCGTCAACGCCACGAAAACCGTCGTCCTTTCCTTCCAACCCCAACACACCATCCACATCACGCTCCGCTCGACTCGGCTGCAGCAGGTCCACCAACATAGGCACCTTGGTGTTACACTCCAAGACAATATGCGATGGACCCAACACATCATAGAAGCCACCAACAAAGCCAAAAAACTACTACACCAACTCCACAAGACACGTGGCACAATGAACGCTTCCAGCCTATTGTTAATATACACGACCTACATCCGACCCGTTCTCGAATATGGCAGCCTTGCCCTCTCCAACACCACACTGCAACAGCGGGACACACTGGAGAGAATTCAACGCCGTGCTATACGCATCTGCTTTCGGATTCCCCTCTTTGCACCAGTTCACCACAGCTCCCTCCTCCATCACGCAAAGCTCCCCACCCTTAGCTCACGACTCCTTGTTAAACAAGCCCTACTAGCATGGGACATCCACCACCAAACCTCCCCACCACACCTGCAACAACCACATCTTGCACCACAACGTCAACACCAACCATACACCCTTCGACAGACAAGGACCTACTCCATCGGACACGCACACACGAACAGGCACCGAGATTCCCCTATCAACAGTGCCCTCACCCTCTACAACTCACTCCCTATCGACATCACAACCCAACCTCGTAGAAATTCTTTCCGAAACAATGCATCCAGTCTTCTTTTGAGCAGTACCTGTTCCTGCTCCGCGCAT